AGTAGAACCCGATCTAAAAAAGCTAGAAGTAGTAAGAAACTAAGTAAGACCTAAAACTTAAAAGGAGACCTGTAGATTCCTCGGGTTCGTAAATTACTACCGTATATTTATCGCTTATTATTTAGAGCTAGCTACTCCGTTAACGGCGCTTATCGGGAAGAGAACGCCGTTCTCCTAGAGAAAAGCGAAGAAGAAGGCGTTCGAAAAACTTAAGGTAGCGTACTATTAGGCTCCGGTACTTTCCTACTAGGATCTAATACGAGAGACCTTCCTTAAAGCTAATTATAGCGGGTTTATAATAGGAGGCGCCCTCCTATAAATTTAAGACGGAGTCCTATACCCTATAGGCTTTTTCTTATAAAAACTAAATAAAGTAGAGATTAACTACGATATCTACGATAAAGGGATATTAGTAATTATCTCCTACTTAAAATTCTAGACTTCCGAGCTTAAAGTATATAAGTCCGTTACGATTTAAACGGATTATAAGAACCTCGAGTACTTTATAGTAAAATAGTAGTTATCGGAACGCTAAATTAGATAGGTAGAATTTATAGCGTAATTCTAGTTTACCCTAGTATACCGGCCGGGAGCCGAAGTAATTATACTAGACGCCCTATCGAGAAGAGAATAAGATACTCTTAAGTAAGACGATAAACGTTCGAGGTTCCGCCGATTCTTAAACCCGGATTCTATAAAGGATTAGCCTAAACCCGTAGGAGAAGCTACGGACGTAGTTATAGCTACGACTAGCTCCCTCTAAGATACGGCTAGATAAGAACTCGTTCCTATTAGGGAATAGCCGACCTTCGGAGAAATACTATCGGAAACTAACGGACCGTTTTAGAAACGCGAACTAAACGTACTATAGAAGAAAGCGGAAAAGGGCGACTACGTCTACTAAGCCGTACGCCGCGTAGTTTAAGACGGAGACCGAACGCTACCTAGCGATATTAAGTTAAAAGTATAAGCTAGCGACTATTCCCTCGATAAAGAAGGGAGGCTCTAATACTAAGGTAAACTATAGGTACCCGAAGTACTAATCTCGTCGGAATCCGAATATAAAGTAGCGAACTACGATACGCTATAAGGAGATACGCTCTAGACGAAGCTAATCGAGTCCGTCTACGATTCGCCGGTATACGGCTACCCTAGGCGGAACTCTATAGTATTATTAGTAGAAAGGTAGTTTTACTAGCCTCTATAGTCGAAATACGTAAGGTAATTCCTACGTAATTACGATTACTACGGAAGGAATAAGATATAGTAAGAGTATAAGTACGGACTCCTAAAGCCTTTACCGACCCTTAAAAGGTTCTTCTAGGAGATCTCTATAGACTTTATAATAGATCTACTAGACTTATAGGGTAACCGCTACCTATAGGTAATTAAGGACCGCTTAAGTAAGTTCGTCGTATTATAAGCGATATCTAGTATAAAAGCGGAGGACTACGTATAGAACTTTATAAAGTATTAGGTACGCTACTACGGCCTACTACGTACGATTACTAGCGATCGAGGAACGAATTAGACTAGTGCCTTTTAGAGGACATTATACCGCCTTACTAGCGTAATCTAGCGATTAAGCTTCGCTTACTATCCTTAAACGGACGGAGGCCCGGAAASGATAAACTAGGAAATATAAGCCTACCTTCGGAACTATATTAATAGGGAGTAATCCGACTAGAATTAATAGCTCCCCGTAGTATAATTAGCGCTAAACGGGAGATATTAAGTAGAACTCGAGATAAGCCCCTTCTTCGCTACTTATAGCTATAAGGCGCTACCGCCCGTAGTACTAGAGCTAGAGAACGACGATTCTCCGAAGCTAGCCGCCGTAGAACGAGCGGCTTAATTCGTAGAAAAGATTAAGGAAATTACTACCTTATCTTAAACTAGTATAGCGGATTCTATATAGAAATAAGAGGAAGCCGTAAATAAGTTACGTAAACTAGTACTAGTTTATAAAGTCGGCGATAAAGTCTAGCTCGACTTAAGGAACTATAATACCGACTAGCCGAAGAGAAGTCTAGTAAAGAGATACGTAAAATATACTATCTCCGAAGTATTATTACCGGTATCCTTTAAGTTAACGGGGCTCCCTAAGAATATCTAACCTATATTTTACCCGGATAAGCTAAGGCTAATAAGTAGTAACCCTCTACTCGGGTAAGAGTCCGATAATAAGTAGCCGGACCTAGTACTATTTAAGACTTATAATAAGTAGGAGGTAGAGCAAATTCTCTATATAAGGAATAAACCTCGAAATAGAGGAAAGAGGAGGGAAGTACTAGTAAAATAGGCCGGATACTACGAGCTTACGTAAGAACCCTTAGAAAACTTATCGAATACCGTAGCTCTAGACCTTTTTAAGACTTAATACGGCGATATAGCGGAGAATAACGGTCCTAAGGAAAAATAGGGAAAAGCGACGACTAAACGCTAGACTTAGGAAGGAATATTACGAGGATAAAGTGTCGAGTATAGGATTACTAGAGTTTAGAGCGATTTAGAGGACTCTAGCTATTATTTAACGGCCTCTAAGGGACGGGTTACGAATATAGGCGTTATACGATTACTTTTAGGACTTTTTATTAGAGATTATAGAACTTATAGGAGACTAACGAAAAAGAGACGGGAACTAACGTTTTATAATAGTAACATTTTATTTCTTAGATATACTAGAAGAGACTTACGGACTTTAGGGTTATTCCTACGGAGCCTAACCGAAATACTACTTACTTAAGCTAAGAACGGCGCTTTCCTAGCTATAAGGTAGGAACTAGACTACTAGGACTATTACGGTTAGCGATAGAAAAGTAGCGGAGAACGGGGTAAACTTACGTAAGAGAGGCCTATATAGCCTTAGTATTAATAGTAATATTTAAAGTATTATATATATAACTAAAATTCGGTTAGCGACGAAAAAGAGCCGGAGAGTAGAGAACTTATAGAGGGAGTAGTATCTAAAGCTTTAGAATCTCTAAAGGCTTAATAACCTTAATAGCGGTCTTAAGGTCCTTAAAGGTAATCTCGCTAAAACGCGCGTAAGCCGATAGAAAACGATCGGGAAGCGGGCTATATCTTATACTTCCTCCTTATCCTTAGCTCTAGTCTAGGTAGCGTATATAGTATAGTAGAGAGATAGGCTAAATCCTATAGTTAGCGAGGTAAAACGGTCGGAACCTAGGGTATATATATAGAGCCTTATAAAGTTAACGCCGGTTAGAGTATAACTTATAGGCTCGAGTATAGGAAGACTAAGATATTAGCGGAGAGCGTAGAAAAAGTATCGGAGTCCGGAAACTTACCTTCTAAGTAATATAATTAACTCTAGAGTTAGCGTAGCTAATATAGTAGATATAGTTTAGCTTAAATATCTAAAGAAACCGGTTAAAAACTATTAAAGAGCGGGGGAAAGGAGGGGTACCTCCTAAGAGGAAGGGAAGGAGGGAAAGAGTAATAATACGTATATTAGTAAAGATATAGCTAATAAAAGAAAGAGGGGAGGGGGGGGAATCCGCTATATATACGTAGTAGAGCGGTATAGTAAATAGCGAAGTAAGGCGGAGTAAGGTAGCGGTAAATAACTCTAATCGTAGGTTAGCGGCGCTTTTTAGCTAGAGTCTAATAGTTCCGGTACGAAGAGATAAAGTAAAGTAAGGGCGGAACGTAGAACGGACGGGAAGCGTATATATACGTATACGGCTACCTAATTATAAAGCGGAGAGCGGTAGTAAAGTAAGCGGCCGGAGCTCGATTTTTTTTTCCTACGCTCCGTATTAAATAGGAAGGGGAGAAGAGAGGAGGGGGGTAATATAATAGGCGAAGCCCTAAGGCTAAAGTATAGGCGTAGCCTATATAGAACGCTTAGTATCTACGTACTTTACGTCGGAATCTACGGAGGATAGTTCTCTTCCCTATCGAACTTATTTAATTAAAACCTTACTTAAGCTCCTATATATACGTTACTCGCCCGTAATAATACGTATCTTTCGGCTATCTTACGGTAAGATGCGTATCTTTTAATAAGTCACTCGCTAAGAGGTATTCAGAAAACGCGCTAATTGACATAGGCATCTTACGTAAAGATGGCGCATCTTACGGTAAGATGAGGCGAAGTATTCAAGGCCTCAAGTCCGCAGGTGCGGCGCTGATCCGCTCGAGCTCCGGGATAGGTAAGCATTGACTTCCCAAGGTTCCGGTAGCGCTGGGCCAAAAAAAGTGCGCAGTTGCGCGATCGCATTTCGAAGAGGCTAGCGAGGATAAATGTCTCCGACAAGATCGCGGGGCCGATTTAGTTGGGCCGACATACAGCTGGAGCGGACGTGGGGATGAACAGATGGCCGTCAACAGGGAGAGCTTTCGAACGGGAATGCCCGCTTCCTCCCCAATTGAAACATGGGCCGATTTCTACTCCGTCGAATAAGGTCAGAGCACACTTCATAGCTCCACAAGACGTTCAACCTGGATCCCGATCACAGTAGCGTATAAGTATGGTAAGGTAGCGTAGCGTAGCGTTTGCTCTCTGCATTGGAAGGCAGAGAGACCATGATGGATGGATGCTCTTCGAGCATGTCTCGGGGAGGTGGCGCTCATCCCCAAGTTGTGGTGAATGGTGATCACATGGAAAAGCTTCTTCCCATGCTCCATGTACATGCGCATCGTCACATGAACCCGGCAACAGACTCCGACGACGAAAGCGCCGCGTACCACAAGGTCGCACATGGGGGCTGTCAAAGGCACACCACGTCGGGTCGAGGTGGGGATGCCCGTTGCCGTGTTACAAGGAGATGTGCCGCCGAAGGTGATGCTCTTGACATTTCTGGGCGAGTGCATGTCAGTCAGCATCGGCCTTGGACTGTAGGTAGAATTTGATCTGAATGGCCTTTGAGGCGGATAGGTTCAAAATATCTCGGATGCAGACCACATTTGCATCGAGCAAAGCAAAACAAATCGGGGTATCTCGAGAATGCGACAATGTGAACTCCCCTTTCCCTCTAAGCAGTAAGTCCTTGTTGGAACCCGCCATCATGCGCCGCAAGTCTGTTCGTCACGATTTGAAGAATGTCTGCATCGTACTGCGTTGGCATGCGTCTCGGCCTAGAAAGACATTAGCAGCTGCTAAGGCGGTGAATCCTGCGACTTTCGACTTACGGGCTGCGGAGGAATCGGTTGTGATCACACTCGCTACATCTATCGCCTTCAACTAATAATGTACCGCAATGCTCACAAGTATATCGCACTCGTTGACGTGGTTTCCGATAGACCCGCTGTACAGCTCTCATCACGGGATTCTCCCCGTTGGAAATCATGCAAAGTCGATTCGTAACTTGAGAGCATGTGTGCGCTTTCGACTGTCGCGGATGCAGCATGAATCGATTACTACGATCATCACGCTCAAAAATAGGGATGGCCGCGTTTGGTCGTGTGTACAGTGGAGAGTGGAGCGTAGACTCTCCAATTTCGCCGTTACCATCGATGCTAGGGACCCGCTCGACTAATGGCGAAGGTAAGGCCGATCGAACCGGAGAATTGTTCGCTGATCGCTCAATGGACTCGTCTCCCGAGGAAATTGGGTCCTGCTGTGGCAGCTCAGTTTCTTCTATCAAGTATCTTCCATTCTCCAAGACACCCCCAACACGTCTTCGGGGATGCGTCAAGCATTGTGCACACTTGGGGTGACCGCACTTTACACAAGTCCTTTCAATGCCAAATTGTGTCTTGCAGCTATGACATGTCCAATGCACCTTCATGAGAATTGGCCTCTCTATCCGACGAAGTTTACGCGGCGGTCCCGCTTGAGATATGTGTTCCGAGTAGGAGAGACCATATCTGCGGAAGAGAGCACTAGCTTTGCTATCGCTGATACCGGGTCGAAATGATGATACGGGCGGGAAAGGTTCATCCTCGTCGGTATAATCGTCGGTGTCGACCTCAAGCTGCTCGTCAAATCGGCTTTGTCGTAATGTCTTTGAGAAGGGATCAGGCAAAAGTGTTGGCGGTGAAGTGGCATTCGGTTGTGTCGTGCTTGGTCGGAAAGGGATATCGGCATTCTGAGGAGATACTGGCAGCACATGTACCTGTGTGATCGCTTCGATTGGTTTGTCGCTGCAGATTGTCCGCGTGTCGGTTGGTCGTCGTCGCTTCATGGCCAACCGTATCCTGCTGAAAGCTCTCGCAATGCTCCCCCGACGCTCCACCCGCTCCATGATCGAGGGACTGGACGCGGTACCAGCCAGATCGAATGCCGCCCTTGAGGGTAAGGTTGAAGATTAATAATTGCGAGGAAAGGTTGCATATAAAGCTCCGAGCACACGCTACCAAAGACCCGGAGATCGACGTGCAATTGTTCGTTATCAGTTAGGTCTTGATCGACGTTCGGATCCRACCAGATGTGCTGATCTGCGCACCAATCGTCAGGAGGCWCAAGAACGATGCATGAGAAGACCGTGAGGTTTCATGAGTTGCGGTCGCGCTCGAGAGGATAAGAATGTGCGGGTAGGCGAGCTAGCATCATTAGATTGCTCCACTCCATGGCGACGTACCCTGTTCGATCCCAAGCACCCTCCGGCTGGGAATGCCCAAAAATTGGTTTCTGTCCGTGCGAGGGCTTTAGCTAGCGTGATTTCGGCGAACCGAATTGCTGTACCAAAGTCCTTGCACAGTACGGACTCACGGAGTTGTGTTGTGCCGCTCTCGAGCCGCCAACATTAGCGCCATGCATGCGTGCCCGCAGCGAACGGAATGCAACTTCGAACTCCAACCTGCTCTTCAGCTGACATCGCCTAGTCCAAGAGATTCCATGGAACTGATGCGCAGATCGGATCTGGCATGAGTGCGTCGTCGTTGCAAAAGCCTGAAAACGGAACAGTAGGCCAATGCCACGGATGGTGAGATGCATCCCCCCCATGCGGTTCGRTCGCACGCAGGGCAGGATATCCTCACGATACGCTTGGGAGTTGTGTGCGATGATTTTCGCCACTCCACCCGCGACTGACCGACGGTGATCCTTACGCGTAACGCCATACCCACATGCCTCCGCTTTCGCTTTGGTGCGGCAATAGGCTGAAGTTTTGCAAGGATGCTGTTCTCGTGTTGGAAGATGCTTGCGTTGAAGCCCCTTTGAGATAAATGATGGCCGGTCAGACAGGCCAGGCTTCTTCTATCTTACATCAGCCATGCAGTGCCGCTCTAGAACCTCCCAAATCGCTATGCTAAAATCACGCCCTCGCCATGCCTATACAGATACAACTACAATGTTCGTGCACCAAGAGCGTCGTCAGGATCAGTGGAAAAAGTATGTGCTCTTCCTCACGTCCTTCACCTTGAAGTCGCCCTTTTCTGGCACTTCAGGGAATGTCAGTGGAAGCCACACATAGAGCTTCCGAGATGTCTTCGATGGCTTGCTACGCTTTGCTGCAGTCGTARGCTGGGTATCGTCCAAATGCATCTCAGCGGCCTCTGGCACTTCGTCAAGCTCCGCCTCGGGAAGTACTTCGGGCAAATCCTCCGGCTCCATAGCGTCGGCCTCATCGCTGTGGTCTGCTTCTGAAGCCATGTTTGACGTTTCATCAATATCATGGACCTGGTTCCTACTGCCTGGGATGGCTCCAAGCGTTTGACCTTCCATCTCAAATGGCGTTGCAAATGCAGCCTTATCGGGTTCTGCCAGGTATATGCTTCCCGGCGTCACCATTGCCTTGCCCTTCGCCACCTCCTCTGGATCCGCACTGTTGAGCAGGCGCATTCTTTTGTACTCGAGCGCAAGCTCACTGTCTTTTATCGATGAGTCATTCTTCAGCTCTGTACGCCGAGCAGTTATTGCCTCCCCGACTTTACTTGTTGCTATCACTGGCGCCAAATACATGCGGTCCTTGTACCTGACCTGGAATTCGTCGCGCAGCCGCTCGATGATGTCACCTTGATGCATCTCGATGAAGGCGTCTCGAAGATGTTCGCTCATGGCCGTGACGTCGCATGCGTGAGTCCAGAAAGAGTCATGGATACTAGCGAATGTCATGCCGTTTTCCTTGCACTTTGCAGCACTCAGCAGCATGTGCGTTGCGTCAAGGGAATGAATGAAATTAGGTGGGAATGCTTGCAGCTGCTTCCTCTTGCTGACCGGGTCAGTGGGATGCGGGTCATGAACAGTCACACCCTGCATCGTTGTGGCAACGTTCTTCGCTTTGGACGTTCGGTAGGGCTGCACTACAGGAAGCTGCAGAGGCGTAGTCCACACCACGAGGGATTGGAAAAGAGGCTTCGCGGTCTTGCCATCAGTCGACGCGTGGGCCAGCAGTGGCTCGTTCACGGGCTGGCCTGACTCCTGAGTCTTCTCATCGATGGATTGGGCCACCTCTTGATGCTCCTCTTCTTTATTTAGTAGAATCTCTTCCTCCACTGGAGCCACTTCACCCTTCTTCAGCTTCTTTGCTCTCTTGGGTTTGGCGGCCTTTGCCTTCTTGGCCTTCCTAGGTCGCGGTCCGGCAGTTCTCTGCTGGCGCATAAGTTCTTCAATGTCCTTTGCCGACAGACAAGTGGATATCCGGTCCGCACATTGGCCCAACCAACTCTGGATTGCTTGCGCTCCCTTGAACATGGATCCGAGAGACTTGAAAATCTTTGTAGCCACGTAATGGCTCATGTTGCCCAAGTTCACCACTCCGTAGGGCTTGACTTCGGGGAACAGCACCTCGAGTTGCTTCCGAACTTGCTCCTTGGCGCCGTAGAAAGTTACACCGTACACGTTGGTCATGACTGGCTGTTTCACGCACTTTCTGGTGAGACGACCTCGAAGCGTGAGGGCAATGAGGTCCCCAGCCTCTGCATCCTTTTCGACCTCAGCCCGGACGGCATCAGCGACGGCTGTGTAGACGTCGGCGGGACGTTCTCCGGGCACAAGATTGACTTGCGCTGCTCCGGCACTGTCGCCGCCCAACGCTGCGTAATGTTGTAAACCATTGCAAGTCCCGTCCTGCTGGACTGGCAAATGCGATACAAATTTTAGCGGATCGGGCGAATCCAGCGCTTGTGTCAATTCGAAGCACGCCGCTAACGTTTGCCATGCATCTTCCGACTTGAGCCACCATCTGCGACCGCCAAGTGGATTCCGAACAGAGTCTCTGATGTCGTCCATGTGTGCATCTGTCCACTCCTCGCGTTCCTTGCTGCTCGCTTTGTCGTGACCCGCAACAGAAGCAAGATGAATTTTCAGCCACCTCAGACCTTGTTCACCCAGCTCCTTACCATCAGCAAATACTAGCAAGCCTCTAACATTATCCGCGCCCATGTGATTGAGATATGGTGGAATGGGATACGCCCGCCCACGAAAGTCAAGATTGTGGGGAAAGTAGAGCGTCTCATTCACAACAGTTCTCGCGATTTCGAGTTGGAAGTTTTGAAAGCAACGTTTCGAATGCAGCCCAGTCATCTTGTTCTTGATTTCACGAACTTCGGCAATCCACTTGTAGCGTGCGTGGAGATTCTCGGAGTCTTCGGGCTCAGGTGGGTATGGCGTATCAGGGCGGAGGGGGGCGAAGTTGGCAATTTCTTCTCCGCTATTCCAAGCCTCGAGCTGAACCTTGAAAACCCCAGGATGTATTCTCCACGGCACACCGCTAAGGGCATTCAGGCCTTTGTAGACAGAACCAAGCCTACCCCGTTTGTCGGCTTCCTTGAAATACCGTCGTCCGTCTTTGTCGCCATGTGGCAGGCGGAGAATGGGGGTTGTTGTGTTGAGATAGCCACCCTCTGTCCAACCTGTCCACTCCTGCGGTGGGTAAMCCATTGGCATCCGCTTAGCAATCAGATCGCCTACCGGCTCTTTGGAAAGCTTGTCAATGAGCGCAGTGTTTGGCACGACCAAGCCGATCTTCTTCCCTCGTTGATACTTCATCCTGTGCACAAACGCTGCCTGCATTTGATGGACGTCTTCTTTYGTTCGAGGATCCTGACGTGTTACTGGAAGCTTGGCGACTTCCATGAGCTTCGACAGGAGCATGGCGCCCAATTTCAGTTTCAAGGCAACCGGCCACTCGAGCTCCGCCAGGATCTGTTGGTTGGTGAGCTTCGACTTGCGCTTTGGACGAGCCATGTCTGTGTCGTCTTTCACCTGCGACGTACGCACATTCCGCTTACGGGATCCGTTGAGAGCGTTGGTCGGTGGTGCTCGTTGTCCGCCCGCCTTCTTCAAAGACGAAGCAGTTTTGCAATCACTTTCGATTGAGTCCGCGATTGACATAATTAACTGTCCGAGTTTAACGTCGGACTCGAATTTCCTACTGTCGGGTCTCTTTCCTTGAGCCATGTTGGCCATGGCAACAAGAATGGTRATACCAGCGATGTTGTCAAGAGGGAGCAGCTCGAGGTAGGGACCGTACAAATGCCGATCGTTTTCCTTTGCGCCCTCGGAGTTTAGCTCCTTTTTGACCTCGACTAGTTCTTCCTGCAGCGCAGTGAGTAGGGATTGTCGCCACTCCCACATCATGGCGGCCATTGGTTTGCCTTGTATTGCTGGGGTGATGCCCTTGCTCTTTAAGTTGTTGTTAGCCTCTCTCCAGCGGTTCATCGCGACTTCAACGGATAGGCCCTCTAGTGCTTCCTGCCGCTTCCTAGCACTTGCCTCCTGCTCTTCGGGAGAAGCATCTGCAGAAGGAAGTGGCATATCGCTGAAAATGTTCATGATCTGCTTGACGCTGTCAAGACCGTCTCCTTTCTGCTCAGTCGCAAGTACGGCAGGGGTACTCAGTAGATCGACATCGCCCCGTCCTGCACGACTYGTGGGAGGCCTGGTCGTCTCGCGTGTAGCTTCGACTTCCGAGGCGTCTGCAGACACAGATTCAGTCGCTGTCTCCGTCTCATCCGGATCCACCAAGTAATCCTTCGCCGCGCGCTCCAGAATCGGGATCTCAATGTCATCGTAGTCGTCGGATTGTAGCACATCGTACAGCATTTCTTCGCTGAGCATTTCCGAGAGCTCAGTGTATCTCCTTATAGACCTATCACGACGTGGGCCGGCCAGTGCTCTGATGACCGCACGAATCATGACCACAATCATCTTTGCATCAAGCGGCACTCCTTTATCCCGAATTTCGACTTCAAACCACCTCTGCATCTCCTTCAACATGATCTGCGACTGCGCCGAATCTCTACCATATGCCATGAGACGCTTCAGTCCATCCTCAAGATATGTGGTGTGTGCAATAGCCACCTCAGGTGCTGTGGGGGCGCAAGTCTCAGCTAAACGCTGCAAAATCTGTGCGGCCCTATCCCTACGCCCGACCAGCAGACTGGTGTTGAGATGCGTCAGTGTCTCCGTAATGGAGATGTTTGCACCTCCCAGCTTGACTTGAGGCAACTGTCTGACGGCCGTATTCATGACTATTGGTTGGAAGTCGCGATATAGGTCCGGAAATGCATGGCGCTCTGCATTTGAATCCAGGTATGTGGGCTTCTCTTGCGTGGCATTGCGGAATCCGGCGCCATAGGCAGCTGATGCCATGTGCCCTCCGCTCTGCACACTCAAGTGATCGGCTGCTGTCGCAAGGCCTCGAGACTGGCCAGTAGGAGGAACTCGCGTGGAGTGAAAGCGCAGCGCATTTCGGGATGTCGATGTCGATGTCGTTGTCGTCGGCTGGTGCAATGCACTCCATCGTAGTTGGGCGGGAGCTAGCCATGGTAAATGTAGTTGTGCAAAGGAGGCGGCGAGGTGCTGTGAGGTGTGGCGCCGTTGTCTCCGTCCTGCAGAGCGAACGAGCATTATGACCACGATTTCTCTTCAATGGACTCCAGACTGTCCGAAACGCGCCCAAAAGCCCGGCGCGAAGGAGGAAACACGCGTATGAATGYGGGTGGGAGAGAATGTGATGGAATCGGAAGATGGGATGGAAACGAAGTTGGTCGTCGAACATTTCTCGAAGACGAGGCACGCGAGCCGGATAATTTAGCTCCGTTCTAATGCCCGATTGATCGCCCATGACGCCTCCTTTCTTTTCAACATCACCTCGCAAGGTCCGGTCCGGTGAGAATAATATTGAAGGTTGTCGTCCTACTTACAGCAGCCAAAAGTGCTGTACCTTCTACCACAATGGCGGCACGATTAAGAAGACACATGGATGTTATCCGATGAGACATTTACAGGTACCTTACCCTCCTTATTTGACTCTCCGCAAGGCTGCTTCTTTTTGTGCCTGTAGCTACCTGTTCGTGAGCGTCGTCGTCGATTTACTCCAAGTAGAGAGAGCAGGCAATCTTCAATTTCGTCGGTCCTGATCCGAGCTGTGCAAAGCACGCTGACCGCATCCTCATCTAACAAGCTACTATGGTAAAACGCTATCTCCTACTCAGATCCTTGAACGCGCTAGTCAAGTTCCTTAGCTTGTCCAAGGGTCTGAAGACATTCCGGGGCAAATCGCGGATTCTGTACTAACTTATATACCACTTTTTCAAACATATCGTATTGTATGCTCGATACTTAGAGCTTAGTAAATTGCATCTAGTAAGAAGGAATCCGTTCTCCGTTTCTTAAAATCTCTATTTTAAAGTGCTTTTTAACAGCAGCAGGGAAACGATAGAATTTTTGTAACGCACTGAAAAAATAAGCGTCTTTTGTATATTCGTGAATTGATCTATTAATTAACTAGAGTGCGTTATATAGTGAGTATATTACTATATACTTTGCGTAATGCTGCAGAATGGATAATTAGCCGATTTCTAGGCAAGGGCGTAGACTTAGAAATATTGGATTCTGAACATAAAAGGTGGTATAGCCGTAGTATAGGATCTGAGGAATTAGCCCGACTTTTCCTCAGGCGCTCCGCAGAGGCATCCTGCCTGCCCTACGAATGTAGATATAGGCAGGCGCAAGTCTCGGAAGGCGCGCATGAGAAGGAGGTAGGTAAAACGTTGCGATGTGCACCAAGCAAATCGGCACAACGGGGCGCATTGTGCGTTCAGTAAGTCTGTTGCTTTCAATGACAGCAAGAGGACATGGCATTCGCTGAGCTGTACCGCCCGTTCATCTCATTTCTCGGTCGTGCCTGCCTCTACTTGACGCTCTTTCCCGATCTGAAGTTTCGCCGTGCTCAATCCCGATAAGTGATACTTCACCATGTTGGCTTGTAGAACGGACGTATCGCTCATCAAACATTCATGGCCTCGTTTGACGTCGGTTCCCTCATTGTGCAAGGACACGGCAACCGCATGGCGGAGGGCTGCAGCGTAGCCCAGCCYAATGTCGATGCCAGCGGGGCGAGGCAAATCGGCGAGCAAGACATGAACGAWGCATTCGACTTTTCAAGCTATTATGACAATGACCAGATGGAGGGAATGACCGGTTACACTCCACATGAGCCGCATGCCGCACATCAAGAAGTCGGGACTACACAGCGCGATGAAAATATCGACATCGACTCGCCTGAGGACACTGACGATGAAGATGGCTGGCAAGATCTTGTCGATTCAGCACGTTCGGATTACTACTCCAGCAATCCTCTCGAGAGCTCGTTGATTCCGCCGTGCTCGCCCAGCTTGGAAAAGGACCTGGTTGATCCTCCTTACTCTCTGGAGGTCGCAAAGCTCGCCACAGCGATCAGTGTCGAGAAATGGGAYGTTGAAAGGGCGTCCCTGGACTTCCTGGCCTCTGTGATGGCACTATCAGCCTCTGGTGACACTGTTTTCACGCGCTACGCTATGCGGCCGCAATTTCGCGACATCAAGCTGGAAGAGCCTGTCCTTTCCACCGATGCAGCAATGGACATGCTGCGACTGCGTAACAGGAACATTGTCCGCTTGACTACGACCGGGATCGAGCAAATTGCCTCGGACAGGCGTCATGATCAAGCACTGCAATGGTCAGCCAATAGCTTGAAACTACCCAGTGAGATGRACAAAGTGATTGCTGCCGAAAAGATGACTGTGAATGGCGAAACGTCAGATTTTCTAAGGGACATCCTCGAAGACAACAAGGACGATCATACGGGTTGGGTCTCCCAAGCTCGCCAGAAAAGGGTATTCTTTKCAAGATGTATTGCACTCTCATTGAACTCCACTGACGAGCCCAGTCTTTATACTGTCCAATTACGCCTCCACTACTTCCACTCTCTCCGTCGTACAGTCCCGGTAGTATTCCGTCTGCGGCGGCGCGCCTACCATTCACATCTACACCCGAAGACCCTCTAGATCGCGAGGGAAGGGAGCTTGAGGACCAGATGATGGCCATGGAGGAAATCCAAGAAGAGTCGGTAGATGGCTCCAACATCAGTGCACCCTCAAAAACTGTGACGCGAAGCTCATCGTCTCCTCTGCGACGGAAATTCGACAAAATCTCCGATATCAAACTCTCCAGCCCGCTTCTTCCATACGACTATGGGCCGGCCACCAAGAAGACAAAGACCGTGTCCTTTGCAGAGGAACTTCAGATTTCCATCACGGACCCGAGTTCTGATAATGTCTCAACCGATCCTTTCGTTGCTGCCGAACAAGCTTTGGCTGCCGTGTCGGCAATGGTAGAGCCAATGTTACATTCAGCCATGAAGCAATTCAGCAAAGAACAGCTGATCGAGATCGATACCACTGCGCGGGTTGACGTACCACATATCGGAGACATAGCACCCGAACCGCCTTGGAGGATTTACTCGGGTCGGCATCGAGTCCTGCTGGGAGACTCTGCAGCTACAATCGCCAAGGCGGAGAAGAGATGGAGTGGTGCATCCAGCCTCGAGCGTCTGCTCCCGTGGAGCCCCTTTCCCGCCCATCTTGGCAAGCCAAAGGCAGAGGGAGACTTCGATGATGGGTCGCTTGCTAGATATCTGGCTGATTTGGACATTCAAGGCCACGTCGACCTTCGACGAATGATGTGGAAGCCAGAAGGCCTTCGCATCCTCGATTTTGAAGACGAGGAAGAGCTGGATGTGTACGACTACGAGCATCAGGATCTGGAACCGCATCGCGGCCATTTGCATTATGGGGCACAAGTTGCGAATATGATGCCGCGAGATCTCAACAAGTCTTTCCATTTACCTCCATCGCAGCTCACACAGAGTGCCAGTCACGACATGACAATACCGAAGGTTGTGGTTCCTCCTCTCTACCGCTTCAGACCGCATATCCAGAACCCAGTAGGAGAAGCGCACCAGACAGCCGCACCTCAAGTGAACAGTATGCAGGCATTGCTCGAGAAGCGCAGAGTACAACTTGAGGTCGAGAAGGCGGCTTTGAACGCCGGCTTTCTCTCAACCTCAAGGTCTTCTACGTTATCGGAAAAGGAAGCGTCCGCCAATCACGGCAGATTATCTACTTTCCTGGCCGTGCAAGGAGTGCGTGGAGTACACCGAGTGAAAGAAGTGTCCAAGGTAAGACGCGTCGAGGAAGAAGTCCAGACCCGGCGGCCAGAACCACTGCCACAACCAGCCAAGTCAGTTCTTGAGATTCCAGCACCGCAGATGACCACAGTGAAGTCAACATTGCCCATCGTAGTCTCTTCGAAAGCCATGGCAAACCGCCAAGTCTTACGAGCGCTCCAGCAACATCTCCCAACWCTCGAAATAATCGAGCGTGAATCGACGGCATCAATGACGAACAGCAGCAAGCAAAACGAAGGCTCCTCGCCTGCCCAAGAAGCAGACTTCACACTCTCACCAAGCACCGGTCTAATGTTCACAACTCTGCAGAAGCTGAAGCAAAAACCGCTTCCAGGCCAAGAGGCCTCTTTCATCGGCATCCGCGAACAGTTCGCTCGAGTAGCTCCACGTTACGAACGTCTCATCATCCTGCTGAGCGAAGGCTCGCATTCCGTAGGCGAGGCACAAACACACATCCGAACGCTCGATGAGCGAGACGCGACCGCTATTGCAGACTTGATCGGCTTCTTCTCTCGACTTGATACCGAGGTGCAGGTTTCGTACGTTCCAGGCGGGGAGGCAGAACTAGTCAAATGGATCGCGGCGGCTGTGGCTCGCTGGTCGCCTTGCATTCAGGAATTCAATCTTCTGGAGGAAGAGACGGTTTGGGAGCGGTTTCTACGAAAGGCTGGGCTCAACGTCTTTGCTGCACAGGTTGTGTTGGATCAGTTGAAACCGCCTTCGGATCAGCTTGAGAGCGATGATTCGATCACGCTGTGTGTATCGGGGCATGAACGCTATGGTCTGGCTGCGTTCGTCGGAATGGACGTCGAAGAGAGATGTCAGCGTTTTGGTCCTTTGATGGGTGGCGAGAGGATGCTCAGGAGGGCTAGTAAGGCGATTGACGGGTCGTGGAACGTGGGGAGTAGGGGCAGGTAGCCTGTGAGGCAAGATATCTTGATGACAATTCAATAAGCATCGAAGTGTAAGGTAGTAGCATTTCGACGCGTCGAAATGATGTGCGATTTTCAAAGATTTACGGGCTGCATGGCTCTCGACCCGTGTACTGGAGGTGAGCATGTAAAGGACACCAATACATTGGCTAGATAACACGCTCCGATATATCAAGAGGCTGTACGATTATCGCAGTCTAAACGTTGTAACATGTTGATTTCGCGACACCTACTGAAACGCTTATCTGAATACTTCGCTGGAAAGCGAGCAAGCATGGAAAGAACGAGGAACGACCGGACTGTATTTGATTCTAAACCTCTCCTACAATCTCTAGCACGACCCGCATCTCTGTATGCAGTCACTCAGGCGACATATCCAACTCTCCTCACTCGTCTCCAAATCGCGATTGAGGCGCAGAACCGTCTTGAGGACATCTCCCACAGTCAGATCCACGGCCCACTTGCCGCCATTACATCTCAACTCATCCACCTTTCCCTTCTGATACACCCAGTACCCAAAAGTCGCATCTCTGTCGACGAAAKGATTCGGCTGGAACAGAAGCATGTCCTTCCAGCTACCCGGATCCTCCAGAAAGTCTCTCAGAAAACGAACCCGGTTCGTGACAATCTCAATGTCGTTGACATTAATCTCGGATGGCAGTTGTCGAACGCGTTCTGCTGGGTAGACGGTTTTGACAAGGCTCAGTTGTCGTAGTCGACGCTCATTGAGCTTGAACATCCTCGAATCGGGCGTGTCAATACTCCAGTCGGGTGTCGGATGCATCTTGACCATGGCCCTCTTATCCCTGTAGTCACGCGGTGCGTCGGGAAACCGAACCAAGCTCACGAGGAATTCAGATGGGTGGTCCGCGCGAGGAGCATACCGCATCTTCTGCCAGTCGAACTTCTCAACGTGCTCGAGCAGAAGTGGATTGACCATGATCTTTCCTTCTTCACTGAGCTGCAGGCGGGGATCGGGGAGGAGCCATAGTGCGCGCTGGACTTTTCTCGACTTCTTTGTAATATCTCGGAATGAGCGGTTGACTCGCTGGAGATTCAGTATTGTGCGAGGAGCCGCAGATGCGATGATGTGCTCCGCGAGCTCGTAGACGCCGAAGACTTTTTGCTGGGCACTGAGCGACGTCATCGTGGAATGTTGAGTGATTGTAGTGGATCGATGGACGAGGTTGTGAATTATTCGAAGAAAGTGAAAGCACGGGAGTAGGGAGTTGAGAAATATATACTCAGAAGATTCGGCTTGTGATCCGCACCCCTTGTGGCCATGCCACGTTGCCCTCAAGTGAATTTCAACCATATTACAGACGCGTGCGCATGATTTCGCATCATGGCATTTTCTCTGAATACTAAGCATTTCGTAATTTGAGGGCGACTTCAGAGTTCTCAGGGATGGGCTGCCCATCTTACAAAGAGATGAGGGTTCAAGACCAAGAGCGGCAATGAAATAGGTGACTGGCTACTAACCTTGCACCGTAGTCTGCAATGTTGAGTCCTTTTCCGACACTGCCTCTGTGCTGATTGCCTCTTTTTGGGACAACGTCGTCGCACGTTGCTATTCCCCTCATGCWAGGATTTTCGCAATCGCGGCATGCCGTATATAGTCAGAATGTGTCACAAAGGCACAGCATTTGACCTCTTATTCCCACTCGGTGCCCTTGAGTCTCTGCATCAAATATTCCACCTCAACCACCTTGGTCAAAGGGATGACATGATCCTTGTACATGGCCACGACCGCATCGACGTTGATCTTACCCGGCGCCTGTGCGTCCATGTTAGGATCTGTGCCATACATCTCAGCTTTGAGTCTCAGTCTCTCCAGCACCTTCTTCTCCACCGCGGAATTTGTAATGGCATCATCGATGCCCTTTCGATCCGCCGCCTYGATCAGCTTGACGAACTTTTCAGGATCCTCAAGAAACTTGCTCTCGGCAACAAATTTGCCAAAGTGTACTCTCCTGCTCAGAGTTTGCAGGCAGGTGACGTCTGTAGTGGCTGCACTTCCATAGTTTTCTTGTGCCTCGCGTTTCCGCTCTTCTCTTGCCGGAGGCGGACACACGCCCGGCAAGATCTCCTTTACATATCGTGTCTTGAGCTCGTCGTTCACATCGACATCGTTGTCCCAGAGAATCTTGGGGTACTCTAGCGGAGGAAGTATCAACGGCTCCATGGCATCTTGGAAGAATGGGTATTCGTCTGGCGACTGGTAACGGCGTATGCGGGATTGCATGCGCTCCTGCTCACGCAGAACCCAATCGGAGAAAGATAGCTTCGATCCCGGGATTGGAATTGCGCCGGGGACGTAAATGTTGCTGTTGAGAGGGAATTGTGYGCGTTCGATGAGGGAGAAGAGGACGGTGTCTTCGAGCCGGATCAATTGGTAACGAATGTGTGGCAGAGAGAGCGCCGTTGAGGGATTCGAGAGGTCAATGGCGGAGTCCATGATTACATTAGTCGATTTGGCTGGCTGTTTAAAGGGTTGAGGGGTCACATTGGCAAAGTGGAAGGTGGACGTGAAGTCATGGTTGCCGCCGAGTTCGGAGGTAGGAAGTGTGGGTGAGGTATTGACATCCATTTCTTCCACAACACTACAAATAAGGCCGTCTACGAAACACCGGTATTCAATACGAACAAAGCGGTATTTGATGCGACAAGGTAAAATCAAAACCAATCTCGTGTGCTTTCTCACTGACACAGATCAAGCTGACGCTTGCAATACCTTTCTCGATTCAATGACTCCTTGATCTGCACAGCGCTGGGCAGATGGTCGCAAACGAGAGATTTGTGTTAGCACAAGAGAGAGGCGTAGCCTGCGACGAAAGAACTGTCAGATTGCAGTGATGCCGAGCTACTTCAGTTGGTTGTGCAAATGTTGAACGTGATAGCTTCCGAAACATTCCCAACGAGAATGTTCAATTTATAGCATCGCGAGGCTGAGCGGAATGATCATCGCTTGCTGAGTTCTGAGCCGTCGGGTTCGATTTTGATGGCATTCGAGCCATCTTCAACGAGGATGACGGCTGGTTGTGGGGTGAAAGCATCCTGAGGATCGGTCGCTTCGACGAGAATTGCGCTTGGACGAAGCGCGTCTGGATCAGATCCCACGAGAGGTCCGTCGGTGAGCGACTACATACGGKATTGAGGGACGGGATAGAGTCAGGGGGCCAAGACCAGATGGAAGAGTATCTGGACTAGTTCCAGCGAGACATGCGGCAGAAAAAGGGATCTGTACGGCTGGCTTCATGCGGGATCGAGCGACGAGATGGAGCCAGGAGATCGAGACCATATGGTGAAGACGACTTGAGTGGCTCACTAGCTACGGGAGGCAGGGTCGACACAGTCATGGCATGGTTCGCCTCCTCTGGGATAGACCGGGTAAGGTCGACAGGGAATGTGGTGACGCCGGTCAGGTCCACAGCGGCCAAAAAGTAGGCAGTGGTGTTCGAAGAGAGCTGCATCTTGAGATATCTGTGGTTCATAGATGGCTTTGAGTTTTGGTGGTCGTGATTGGTAGTGGACGTTTAGTATGTATCGAGTATGTATTTGAAGCCTGCAAGGAGAAGTAGCTGGATAAGACAGATGGATATATGACATATACGGTCGAGACCGCAGCTGGAACCAGCAGATGCATTTTCCGGGCAAGTTGGAAGGTAAATGGGGAAAATTGGCAAATATGGAGGACAAGTGAGCAAGAGTACAAACCTTGATATCTTCGAGTCCCGCATCAAGAAGCACCTGCAGCGTTGGTACGAGGCGGAGATAATTACATGTATGCAAACATAAGCAGGATGCTGTTGAGATGAGGGACGCTCGAAGACGAAAACGTGATTCTAATAATGATGATGATGATGTCCGCGGCAAGCTTTCCACCTTTCCACCTTGCCATGTGACAACAGCCTCCTAGGTACTACATCACTACCTACGCCCATCACCAATCGCAACGCGCGGCAACGCTTTTCAATCGACCCCAGCTTGCGACTTGTCCTCACGTCTACAACAACAACAACAATGCGTCACGGATAATCACCCTCACCATGACCCCTCCTCGACGCGGACGGTCGCCGCCTCCACACTTCGACGACGATTCCTCCATCCTGCCTGTAGGCGCAAGAATCCTCATTGCACCGATCTCTGCACATCACTAACAATGCTCTGGTAGACTCGCCAGATTGAGAATTTCACGCGCACTGCTGTTACAACCGCATCGTCTCTCATCGCTTCGCCCTTTTCCAACAATGATGGTGCGCCTGGACATGAGCACTTTCGCTCAGCCTTGCGCCTGTCAAAACGGCCGATGATCCAGCGCTCCGTTTTCTCGTTCGCCAAAGCCAACCCTCGCGAGCTTATTCGTTCCAATTTCAACACATCTGAGATCGAGCATCGAGCATTGACATACCTCCCCGATGAGCTCCTACGGAACATGCCCGAGAGCTCTTCTCCGTTTAGTCTTTTTGAAGGATTCCGCGCCAGCTTACCGGAAGGAGACAGCCCGCCGAGGAAAGGGAAACGGGGCCACGGTCGACATGGGAGTAAAGTGGGACAGAAGATGTTGGAAGGGGTGGAAGAGGAGCGCAGTGGGCCGCCGAAGTTACAGAAGGTGCGGAAGGAGAAGGATCGATTGGAGCACAAGTTGGAAATGATGGGGATCCGTAAGACCATGTGCGCGAGCGAGATTCGCGAAATCGACAACAAGATAACAAACCTCAATACCATGCGAAAGGTCATTCTGGAACGACTAGCCGGTCTAGAGGAGGAGGAGCGAGATATTGATCTTGAGCTGGGAGAGGTTCTGGAGAGGTTCGAGATGGTACAAGAGCAGATTGCAGACGAGGCGGCCTTGGCTGCGAAGGCCAGTCCTGAGGCAGAACCGGACGCCGCGGACAATGCTGAAGGTGAGAGCGATGGCTTCATGAGCGAAAGTATTTACGRGCAGCTCCCTAAAGCCGTTGCTGCGCCATCCACACCACCAAAAACTAAGCGGAAAAAGACGCCCAGGCGAGTATCGAGTATGCCGGTATTGCACGAACACATGGAGCCTGGCAGTCGTATACGAGAGCTCCAGGCGCACAACGACATTATTACGGCCCTCGACTTCGATGCGCCTTTCGGTGTGGCGGTGACAGCTGCACTGGATGACACTGTCCGTGTATGGGATCTTAACGCTGGGAGATGCATGGGTCTGCTCGAAGGCCACCTCTCCAGCGTAAGATGTCTACAGGTTGAGGATAGCATCTGTGCGACTGGAAGTATGGACGCCAGCATTCGCCTTTGGGATCTCAGCCAGGCAGACTATAATCCTCAAGCTCCAGCGGAAACGCTTGTAGAAGAGGAGGGTGAGGATGATGACGCATTATTCGAGTCACCGGCCCAACAGCAGGTTCGGGCACCTGCTCCCGAACAGACAGGAGATGCCATGAAAGATTGTCACTTGTTCACACTCTCTGCACACGTCGCGGAGATCACAGCTTTGAACTTCCGCGGCAACACATTAGTATCGGGCTCCGCAGACAAGACTCTCCGGCAGTGGGACTTGGAGAAGGGGCGGTGTGTTCAGACCCTGGATGTGCTGTGGGCTGCTGCGCAAGCCGCGTCACAAGTGAACCCCGGCTCCTCGTCAAACCTCAACCCCACCATAACTACAGGCGGTGGCGCTGACAGCGGAGGATGGTGGAGACCGACCGGCGGCAGACTACAGTCCGCGGAATCAGACTTCATCGGCGCGCTGCAGGTCTTTGAGACAGCACTTGCGTGTGGTACTGCGGACGGAATGGTCAGACTGTGGGATTTAAGGAGCGGAATGGTACATCGGAGTCTCGTGGGACACACAGGCCCTGTTACGAGCTTGCAGTTTGATGATGTCTATCTTGTTACCRGGAGTCGGGATCGAAGTATTCGGGTAAGCTCCTTCAACATGCCGGTCTGTGCTGTTTTGTTACTGACGTATTGCAATAGATATGGGATCTTCGAACAGGCAACATCCACGATGCTTTTGCGTACGATGCGCCAATCACAGCGATGCAGTTTGACGCTCGACGAATCGTGGCCGCCGCTGGTGAGGATGTGGTCAAGGTATATGACAAAACCGATGGGAGGCAATGGGATTGCGGAGCTGGAGTCAGCTGGAATGAGGGTGAAGGTGGTGTGAAGCCGTCTGTCGTTGAAAGAGTCAAGATCAGAGATGGCTATATGATAGAAGGGAGAAGAGACGGTGTCGTTGGGGTTTGGTCATGCTGACAAACTTGAGAGAGTGACGGGGGTACCAAAAGGAGTCGGCATCTTGCATAGTGCGGATGGAGAGTGTATTGTATATATGTACGCCAGGCCAGGGACACGACACCAGAGATCAGCACCTGCTTACCTTTCATTTTCAACACACATCTATGGACATGTATGCAGGCCGATACAAACGAGCGCTGCCCAAGTGACGTCGGTCTCGGCCCATCCCTTCACCGACGACTCTTATGATCATGGCTCCACCACACATTCTGCTTACGGTAGGACACCAATGTTCGCATCGCCTTGTCTCCTGGCCAACCTTTCGAGGAGATACTCCCAAAGGTACCTACCAGCTGCATGCGAAGGGGACAACCAACCAGCTCACTCGCCGACGACTCTGTMACGACCCACGACCTCACCGGTCTCTTCGGCGAGCCATGTTGACATCCGCCTTTTGCACAGCACGAGATCGCCTCTGCAGACCCGATGGCTGAGCACATCCGTGACAGGAGATGATCGCAGCCAGTCGAGCCCAAGTTTGCTACTAAAAGTACTTACCATCCTGAAGAGGCCTGTCGGGTCCTAAGCCTAGCGAGTCTGACAAGCGCCTCTCGTACGCCACACTGTGAGCTTGGCACGTTTGCTATAGCGGTTATGCAGCCTCTACTCTCACCGGAGCTCGGAATGGACGAGGAGTGAATCGATAGCGTTAGCGCACGCTCCTCTCATCGGGAAAATATATGCACCACAACCATCGTAACATGGTCTGAATACGAAGAGGCGTAGTAAGGCTGCGAAATCCGTTCCAGTCGCCGTGTCACCAAGCGCTACCGCATGCAGGATGTGCAAACATGCATGGCGTGACTGCATTGGACCAATTTCGGGTCGTGCTCTCACAAGCTCTGAATAGGCGAGACAAGACGTGAGGCCTGCACCGGGGTATGCATCCTTCCGAGCGTTCATGTGAGGGCTTCACTGGGTACGTACGATATATCAGCACATACACTCCTTTGTACCCCCTTCTTTGTTGTAAARATTCTCGTCATCTTCTTTCTTGCCCGAATACTTTCTTCTTCGACCTGTCAATAGCATCGAAACAAATACATCACAACAACATCAACGATATGGCCAACGACCATGTTCTCGAACTTCCAAAGTTCGTGTGGGCTCTCAAGATCGTTCAGCTTGTTTTCTCGGTTCTAGTTCTCGCTCTTGCAGCTGTGAACGTCTCGGCCATTGCGTATAATGCTCACGCCCTGTCGATATTCACCGTGAGTCAGCTAGCATTCTATATCGCCACTCCTCTAACAATCGTCGCAACAGGCTCTCTTCAGCATCTTGATCTTGGTCTACTACTTCGTTGCAATCCACGGTTCCATTAAACTGTAAGGCAGTCCAACAATTCCCACTAACGACCGATACTAAACGCCTGCAACAGGTACAACTGGATTGCGCTGCTTATCCTCGAATGCCTCGCCCTAATCTTCTGGCTCTCCACCTGGGCCGTCCTAGCAGCGCTATACGCAACCCCAACATACTACAGCTATGACTCCTACTACTACTGGTACAAGCGATCTCTAGAGAAGAGGATCACAGTTTCCGACTACACCGGCACATTCATCTCCGCTCTGACATTCAGCGTCATCAACTTGTAAGACTATCTAAGCAGCCCCTCTCAACCCAAAGCAAGCAAAAATCTAACGCGCGTCTGACAGCATACTCTATTGTATCACCCTGACCTTCATCTCCCTCGCCGCGCACCGTCACCGTAAAGCAGGTCGACCAATGAAGTACGGTGGTACAACAGCTTCTGCGACCACCGCGGACATTGAACATCAGCCTGCACCTGTATCTCCGGAAACGACTCAGTACGCTCCTCCTCCTCAGTCAGGTGTCGCGCCGACGCAGACACAGCCAGCTGTGATTCAGCCGCAGTACACGGGCGTTTGAATGGTCGCGGACAATTACTGCATTTCACAACTGAGAGAGAGACGAGCAAGCGACGAGTTAATGAAGGAGACGAATGACGTTCGATTCGGCGGACTTGATATACCCATGGCGATTTCATCAGCTGCTAGTACTTCCATCGAATATGACTTTACCATGAGATGAACTTCTCACGTTCCTTGCCTTTCTGCCGATCACATGTAACGAGCGACGGTCAGTGAAATTGAAGGTTGCCGCCTTACCTGCTGCAATCGCACTTTCCTCTCTCTAAGAACGACGACACAASCTAGAAGTCGTCGTTTGACAAGACATTTAGTTCTCCGCAACAATTCTTAGCTCTATGTCCGCGAGTGTGGTCGTTGCTCAACTGCAAGGAGAGCCGGCAAGCTTCAATCCTCCAGCGTAATGGACATACTCAGCGTAATCGACGTCCACATTTCGACAGCGTGTTGACCTCGCTTTTCGGTAACGAGCAAGCAAAGTGAAACTTTCTTCATGCATAATGAGTTTAACATTAATCTAATGCGCCTCGCTGCAGCGAATGAACGACTTTCGTAGCGACGTGGCACGCTGAAATGCAGCAGACAACTCCTAGGGCATCCGGGTATCATCAGAGCACGATCGAAATGATCAGTAGTACACTTTCTCTTCGTAGATTGGTGGGCGACCGTCCTCCTCACCCCACACAATGTTGTTCTTCTCATCCAGGGTGGCACCCTCATCTGTAATTGGAGTGATCTTGCTGGTATTCGCAACCTCCTCTCTGCTAATGCCCATGGGATCACGTGGAATCCACAGGAGTGGTGTAGGAGCGACAATAGCAGGATTGAAGAAGGCCGTCAGCTCGTCCTGTTCGCTGTAACGGATACCAATCTCCTTCGGAACCATGCGGCGCATGGTCTCATAGTCGGTATAGATGTCCGGTCGCAGCCACTTGGCGAGGAAGCTGGGCTTCTTGTGCGGGGCTGGGCCCAACTCCTTTGTGGGCCCGTTCCTGAAACCTTCCTTGGCAGCACCATCCGCAGCGTACCTATCTCCTTCTGCCTCATTCCCATGGCCTCCCTCAATCTCGAGCAGACGGCGTTCCTCAGCCTCAAGGGACTTGGGCAGGTAATCGATAAGAGGCGCCATGGCGCTGTTCAGGCTGATTTGGTACAAGGCGGTGAAGATCAACATGAGGATCATCATTATCAGAGGACCCAGAGCTCCAACTCCGCCAGCGGTTGCAATTGCGAAGATACCAATGAGGCAACCCTCTGCAACGTACAGGCCAACGAATAGATGACCCAAGGCGCGTGGGTACACCAATCCCTTTTGTGTCAGGTCAGCAAGTGTATTGGATGAAGGGTATCTGCATGGTTTTTTGGACCCGACCTACCTTTGTGTCTACAACGACGTTAGACACGAACAACAAATTGTATCGGTATGCGAAGTAGAAGAGGAACAATCCGATAGCGGCGAATCCGAGGACCAATGGAGCGATGGCGGCGTAGCAAATGGCAATGACGAACAAGTTGGTGTAAACAGGGAACAGAGTGCCCCAGCCGAGGCCAGACAGGTTGATCCACCTCTGGTACCTAAAGCGAAGGTTAGCAAGTGTCCCAAATGTATCGGAGGATGATGAGAAGTGTGGAGGTCTCGACTCTCTTTGCATCGGAGGTTGTTCAGCCGCACAAAGCCTCGCCTGTAAGTTGGCAGTAAATCAACCCTCGCGGGATGACAGCGAGAGCGGGCCTTTGGCCATGCGAGAACACCTTCACATGCAAGGAGGTGCTATATGCCTTCCAAACTTCAGTCTGACGCACATTTTACGCGGGGTTTTGTCCAGGAATTTCCCTAGAACCATGAAGATGATGAGGCCGACAAGACCCTAAAGCGAGTTATACCAGGTCAGCAAGTGCATTGGATGAGGGAAAGTTGCATGGACTTGCCAGAAGTAGGCCGGAGACGACTCCAAGACCCTGTAGGATAAAGTACGAGAGGTAGAATCTGCTAGCAGTTGGGATTGCTTTCGCAAGGAGACTTGGAGCCGACATGGGATTCTCGATGATGTTGGACACGGCAGCAGAGGCCGATGCACCAATGGTTGCGACGAGAAATACCTGCATGGAAGTGAATTGTCAGTATTGAACGCGCCCAATCACGTGAAGCAACCTACCTGCACGATTTGGAAGGCGAAATACGTGTTTTGCACGGTCAATTCAACAGCGCTCCTCGTTGGTGCGCCTCCAATCTTGGCCATGGCACGAAGAATTATGGGAAGGAGAGCCATGAGTGCGGCAAGCAGGACGACAGGAAGAAGACCAGTCACAACTCCAAGGATCTTGGGTGGAATGCTGTTGATGAAGTCCAAGAACGGAAGACATCTGATCAGGTTATCGATTTGCGAGATGGCTCCAACAAAGGCGACGGGGATCGACCAGAATATGACAAGCGCAACGACGAAGGCCGTTGTTCCAATTTTTCGGACTACGCGTTGCCTGGGAGGAGGTTAAGTTAGCCAGCGAACACAGTGAGGTACTCCCAAATAGAGCCACCGGGCCATTGCCTTTTGACGATTGCCGGCGCTTTGAGAGACAAACTTACCACCAGGAGATCCCGAGGTTTGACCAAATGACCTCGTCAGGGGTCATTCCCGTGAAGCGTGGCGCCATCTGCAGGATTTGGTGATGAGTAAGGGCCTGATAAGCAGATTGAGCTTGTGACAAAGTCTCAAATTCGACAAAGACAGAGTTCAACTTCTTTCCACGACCTGACGTTTGTTCCGCCTGGGCAGTCTCGACTTCCGATATGAGCTTCTGGAGCTCGCTGCGGGACCAATCGATGGTGTCCACCTTCTTGCCGATGAGAGGCTTCAGGCGGTGCATTGGACGCTCCTTGGCCTGGAGATAGCGAGCGGAGGTGGATCCGTTCTCTCCAATGGCAGCCTCCTCAGAATCATGTCGCTCGCCCTTCTTCTCCGCCTTCAATCTGTTGCCGTTTGCGGTCTTGATGAGCYTGGTCTCTGCGCCTTCCAGTTTCATAGCCACCTGATCGCGCTCCTCGACCTTTTCTGTTAGGTCCTTGCAGTCAGTGGCGAACCAGATGTGACGGATATTGGGTCCAAGCATGATGCGCAGCTTGGCCTCGTCCATGAAAGAGTCTGGCACGGAAGTGTACAGAACAGTTCGAGAGGAGATACGGCTGGCATAARGCGGCGACATGAGGTATGCCTGGCGGAGGTTGATGTAGTAGATACACTCGCGGGTGATCATGTAGATGATGAAGGAGAAGTAGATGCAGGCGCATCCGGCGTGGGCAAATAGTTTGAAGTAGTTGCCTCCATCGGTGTTTCCGGTGACATTTCCAAGTGTGAGGATATCCAGCTCGCTGAGGCCGCCGCCGCCTGTGATGTTGATTGGGAAGAGGATGGGCCACGTGATAGCACATCCGACCAAACAGCACACAATGGCGATCTTGAGGAAACGCAAGAAGAGATATCCGTCGAGGGTGTGGTGGTTGAGGACATATGTGTCGGGCATGGCCCAGAACTCGTTGATCCATCCAAACAGGCTGTCGCTCGGCTTGGGTGTCCGTAGCTCGGGATTGAGACTGCCCACAAACGTTCGGGGTCTGTAATAGCGCGGAAAACGATTGCGAAGGAGGAGGAACAACGCGAACCAGATGATGGCGTAGACCAAGACCGGCACGAGGGTAGAGAGGAGGGCAGAGGCAGAGCTGCTACCTCCCTCGCTTTGCGCGGAGCCCACGTTAGGGTCATCGCTCTGCACCGAGCAACTGCTTCCCATGTTGTTGGGGTATTAGGCACGAGGCCTGCTTGGACTCGGAGTTAATGATGGAGTCTGTGTAGATGATGGCTGCGCTGGCCGTACCTGGGGAAGGTCTCTTTGGACCGAGGGGCAGATGAATCTGCTTGTCGGGATGTCGTGCAGAGGTGATGTTCGCGGAAGAGAAAGCAAGAGCCCAGCCCGCACCGTAGCGCTGGCAGAGGTCTTCCCTTAATCTTATGGCCTGCTAGCTCCGTCTACACGCCAGCGATCGGCGCGCCATGCCAACCAACTTTCAAGATCGGCCGCAAACACGTCGCCAAAAAGCTGGGCAGGCGAGACCGCTATCGGTTGATGGACGCCGAAAACGAGCAATCGCTGCCACCACAAAAGGCCGGGAATTGAAATTCTTGCGAGCCTGTGGCACAATGCAATCCCGGCAAGTTCGTGCTACGGCTGTCAACACGGGCGAGACACGAAACATTCCAGGGTCCGTCCCTAGTAGAAGGAGAGTTTCCAGCCACGCGCCGCCACAGCCACGCGCCGATGAAGCCGCTTCTGCCTCTCGGGTCGAGCTTCTCGCGGCGCGCGTGGAAGCGATGCTCTGTTTGCGCTTGGAACCAAAAAAGCCACCTTCAATACGTACATGAGGATCATCCGGTCGCATCGCAGATTCTGATTTAACCCGCAACGCGGCTTTCACCCTCCGAATCGGTGGCTGTACGACTTGCTCCCGCCGTCCACAAACGATGGTCACCGCCTTTTAACCTGTCACAACCGTGCTGAACGAGCCACATGCATACGCTTCCTTCGCAGGTAGGGCTCCCCTGAATACCCCAACCTCAAGCTGTCTGTGACATCAACCACGGTTGCTGTAAAAGCGTCGGCGTCTATTGTTCAAACATCAGCTGCTGTCATCCAAGAGAAGACTGCGCACCAGATCCGCTTGAAATTAACGTCAAACACGTCGTTTGAGGGCTCTCGCATCTTATAGCACGACACCCAATGGACGTTTTTAGGCGACGCGGACCCGCGTGGTGTGGCGCACGCAGTAGGTTCCGGGCGCCAACGCACTCTGTCGCAGGCCAAGAACCTAATCTCCACTTACATGTGACAGGCTACGAAGTTTGACTCTCCGCAGGATTCGTCGTTTTTGTGCATCCAGCTACTTGCTCGACTGTATGGCCATGGCCATCGATACCGCGAGCAGAGAGGGGAGTTTAATAAGAGCAAGCGAGAGCGTGCTTCCGCAGCGAAATCGCAGCTCATACACGACTTCGAACGCCCTCCTCGCCCTCGGCTCTATAAACACTCTCGATCCTGTCAAGAATTCCTGTACRCTTAGCTTAGCACTCCGCAGCTCGGTGATATCCTACAACAGAGAGCTGGCAGATAAAAATGTCCTCCCGCAGCGAGACAGCGGCTCAAATACTATAGTGCACGCGCTTTCATTCTGCCGCCTTTAGGAGATCGCAACGAGACTCTAGCTTATATGCTATCTCGGACGCCCTTTTAGCATTCCACTCCCGAGGAGGACTCTGTAGTGCTCTTCATCCTACGCGGATGAATTGTATAGCTAGCTAAGAAGTCCACAGTCCGACGGTCCTCCTGATGGAAGAAATATGCAAATAATCTCCGCTCGCAATGAAATCGCAGCTTACATGCCATCCCAAATATCTTTTCGAAGAATCCCGCCTTTTGGAAGGAATGTGCAGTGCTCTCGATCCAGTCGCGATGACCTGCATCGCCAAGCAACCAATGCACAGCTTCGTCGGCCTACGATAAAGAGAGATGGGAGGATTTCAGACGTCCATTGAGGCAAAATCATCTAAAAGCGCTATGTCAACAGGTAGGCCCTCCCCTCCCAGGCCTGCAGAGATCCCTTGGTCTCGCCGTAATTGCTGGCCAGCAGCCTGTATCCATCTCCAAGTAGCGCCTTCTGTGTCGCATTCAGCGGGACTTCCTCCCTCGAAAAGTTAAGTACTACCAGAGCTGTCTGACCATCTGCAGCCGTCTTCGAGTACGTAAAAGTGTGCGAATTTTCGTAATCGTGCAGTTCGAAGGCCCCAAACATGAACAACTCTCGATATTCCTTCCTCATCTCGATCCGAGCCTTCCAGAAATGCCAGATACTGTCGGTATCGATCTTCTGGGCCTCCACATTGAGCCAAGTATAGTTCGGATTGACGTTCATCCATGGCAGGTCGCTGCCCGTGAATCCACCATTAGGCTCGTTGCTCCATTGCTAGAGAATCGATCAGTGTAAGCCCTAAATTGTCAAGGGGATCTTCAGAAAAGCTTACCATGGGAGTGCGGGAGTTGTCCCTTCCGACCTTGAACACCCCAGAGATGGCTTTCTCGCGGGCGTTGGGATCATTGGGGTGGGCCTTGACGTAATCTTCAATGTAAATCAGGGCATCAGGATCACGGAACTCAGAAAAGTCCCAGGTTGCTGGCATGTTTAGCATGCCAATCTCCTGTCCTTGGTAGATGAATTCTGTGCCTGACAGCGTGGTCTGCAGTAGCGCGAGGAGCTTCCCAGCCTGACGCCAGTACTGTGGGTCACCGGTTGCATACCTGCTGATGCTTCGAGGCTGGTCGTGATTCTCCTGAAAGATGGTGCCCCAGGCATCAGTGTCTGTGATTAGTTGCTGGACCTTTTGTATTGCTGTTTTGAATGAGGGAAGGGTGTAGCTGTCGTCACCATCTGTGTAGTTCGACACCTCATGTTTCGCGAACTCATCGGGAGTGTCTGCGAAGCGGAAGGTTCCAAGTCAGTGATGTCTCAAGAGCTTCAATAGTTCGAATGCGCGGACGTACCGTTGTTTCCTAGTTTGATCACATCAAAGTCAAAGACCATGGACAGCTCGTTTTCGGCAGGCTTGACGTATCGAAGAAGTTCGTCATATGGCGTCAATGGCAGCTCTCCAACGAGCACCAGGTCCTTCTCGGGCGCGTCCCGAGCGATCTTTGCGCTCAATTCCTTGAGCCAGTCGTGCACCTTCGGCCCATTGATGTAGTATTTGCTTCCCGGTTGCCACTTTCCATCAACGGCAATCTCGGCATCCGGGAATGTTGTGTCCTTGCAATACCGGTTCGCTGGAAGCAGTCAGAATGTCTTTACTTTGCGTGAGGACAGATAGAACGCCACTCACCAGTGTCCACACGGAATCCGTCCACTCCGCGATCGAGCCAGAACTTGACGGCCGAGTCGTATACTGCTTCCCTCAGCTCCGGGTTTTCCCAATTGAGATCGGGTTGTGACTCGAGAAACAGGTGCAGATAGTATTGTCCCCTTGCGGGGACCCACGTCCACGCACTCCCTCCAAACGCCGCGCGCCAGTTCGTCGGCTCTTCTACCAATTCATCTCCAATCTTGTTACCTGGGCGTTTATCTCCCCATATATACCAGTCTTTCGTGTCTCCTTTATTCACGCTTTGTTCAAACCACTTGTGCTGGGTGGAGGTGTGTGTAATGACGAGATCTAGGAGGATACGCATACCTTTTTTGTGGACTTCGCTGATCAGCTGCTCCATGTCCTGGAGTGTGCCGAAACGCTGCTCGATGTCCTGGTAGTCAGAAATATCGTAGCCCCAGTCGTTCATTGGTGATTTATACGTCGGAGAGAGCCAGATGACATCAATGCCGAGATCTTTCAGGTAGTCTGTGCACACGTTATTGAGTGTATCTGGCAGCAACTGTCGGTCGTCGAACATACCTAGTTTGGAAATTATGCCTGGAATATCGCCGATGCCATCTATAGATGGCTCCGAGTTAGCAGTCGACTGAGCAAGGGCGAACTGTCCTGCACTGACCGCCATTGCTGTCTTTAAAGGACATGGGCCACACCTGGTAGCAGACCTGGCCTTTCCACCAAGGCCGCTCCTTGTCGTCTGCCGCCATGTTCGAGGTGGCGAAGGAGGCGGTGCTGCTGCTGGAGGAGATGGTCGTGCTTGTCGAGAAGATGTCGCTGTTGTTCGAAGAGGCCGTATCGAAGCTTGATGCWATAGAGGCTGCTTCGAAAAGAGACCCATTTCCTTTTTCCGCTCCGCGATCGGCTCCATGTCCTGTGTCGCCCACTGCGCACTCTGCAAATCCCAGATCGAGGGGCGCCATGTRAATGAAGGAGGGGTAAGTTTCGAGATATACTTGTTCGATGTTCAATGGGACAGCTGCGTTGATTCTGAAAGATGAATGTAATTTTCTTGTGCGCTGATGTTGAGGGAAGGAAGAGAAAGGGGAAGGCGCAAAGGCTATGGGTAGGCGATCATGTATTGGCCATCGTGACTGAAGATGGCAGAGCATGAAGACAGACCCACCTGATGGCATCCTATGCCAGCCTGTTGTCGGTTGCCTTGGGCAGCTGTTTGCTCGAGCACGAGTCGTCCACGACCTTCGGCTGTGCTGCCATGAGCAGGGCCTTCCGATTCGATCGGGATGTTGAAGATTGTTTGATTACTGGTACACGATCAAGGAACCATTCACTATGTATACTTCTGTGTCGTATTAACAATCTTGGCTTACCAGCATGGTGGGCATGCGGTTGAGATTGGTGGCCAGATCGTAGTTGTTGAAAGAGGAAAGCTGGCGAAGTATAAAGGACGCGTTATAATAGCTGAAATGTGTGTGCTAGGGTGTTCCAGGTTCGCCCACAACTTCGCTGCGCGAATTGAAAGAGTACTTGATACAAAGAAATACTCCGTATATGTATAGCGAGCAAACGGATGAAAATGTTGCAAGTTGTGGTTGTAAAGKGAAGCTTGGATGACGCGAATTTCGCGCGCTGGCGTCACTAGCGCGCTTTCGCGTCGCTGTTGGCAACGACGAATGACGAAACATCGGAACATCGGAACAGTGCACAGGGACCGAAAGACAACGACGTTGACACCGGAGGTTCAGCAGACACACCTAGCCATCTAAACACATAGGTATTACACATCGACTACCTTTCAGTATGGCCCCAAAACGCCGCACTACCACTCCACGGAATGCGACCCGACAGCAATCCACAATCTCCTTCGCTGGCAAGAGCAAAATCACCAAACCATCAACACCAAAGAGCAACAAGGCAGCGCAAAAAGATGCGGCGCTCCTAGACGAAATTGTAAACACGGAGCTAGAGCCAACGACCGACGAGAAAGCAATCGCTGAGCAGGTCAAGGAAGAGGTGCAGACGCTCGAAGACCCTCTCCATGCGAAGTCAACTACCGCAGAGGACGTACTTGGCGGACGAGCAGAGCAGAGCGAAGTGGGAGCCGTCGGCGGCACAGGATCGGGCTGGATCGGTGATGAGGAGTCCACAGCGAGGAAAACGTCAGCAGCTCAAATTAACAAGTACTGGCGGCAGAAGGAGGCAGAGCGGAAGGCTCCAAGGATCCACCAGGAGGATCTCAGCATGCACGAGAAGATACTGCGAGAGTGGGACATGAGTGGGCAATACGGAGTAAGTTGTGTGCGTAGACTTGAAGAATCGTGCTAACATGCGAGAAGCCCTGTATTGGCATCGCTCGCCTGAAGCGCTGGAAGCGCGCCAACATGCTTGGCCTCAATCCTCCGATTGAGGTTCTAGCTGTGCTTCTCAAGGRGATGGATGGGGGCGAAATCAAGTCACAGCGAGCTTATGTCGACGAATTGATGAGCTCGCGGTTTATCGAGACCTGAGGCTTCATGGGTAGCGGATCACATTATGGGTAGCGCGGCGTTCATGGGCGTTTTGCTTATTACCAGACAACTTCGAAATGAAGTCACGGGCACCAGAGAATCTCTGCTGAATGTGGGCAGATGATCTACGAGTACGCATTGCGGCATCATTTGAGCCGGAACGTCGATTGTGAGAGTGGCGATTCGTTTTCCATTTTCGAGCAGAGTCCCAGCACTGTTGAGCGAGAATATCTCTCATATTCATTCGATGCCATGCCATGATTAAACGATCTCGTTCGTGACTCTTGCAACAACTGTCTGCAAGCAGAGCTCATAGAGGCAGGAAACCCCATGAAAGTAGGACACGCAGCGCAGGAGAGTAATGACTCCAAAGAGAGAGCAATGTAAACGCCAGATTGGTTTATCGTCCTCATTCCGTCCGCTATACATACAGCGCGTACAACTTCTAAACATTGCCAGTCTCCAATCGACTTTCCGAACGCCTTAAATGCCCCAGGTGTGTTATTTCTGTGGATGCCCGTCTAGAACTTCATCATACAAGTGACATCTGCCGCGATCTCCTATACCGGCAGGATTAACATCACTTGAAGTCATTCGCGTTGCCACTCAGCAGTAGCCCGATGATCAAACCGAACAGACCCAGGACGGATGAGAAGATCTCGATGACCAGAACCTTGACGAATCTTCACATTGTCAGCAGATGGTCGATCTAGCGTGCAGCTTGATTCCCACTCACAAGCTTGGATCCGCTGCATCAGCCAGCGCGGCGCTGGATCCGTTGATGCCCACACTGACACCGCAGATTAGATTGCACATCCCAACAAGTAGTCCAGACCAGAATAGAGCGAATCCCGTGAAGTAATTTCCAGCGGCATGAATAGCCTCTCCCGAGACAGGCGTCAGCTTAGCAGAGAATACAATGCTCATGATGACTCCGTAAATGGCGACAACTTCGCAGAAGATGATGGAGATCAAGTTCTTTGTCCGGATCCTCGGTGCCTTGACACCTCCTCCGAGAATGGATGTGCCTGTGATGAAGATTCCCCTAAACGCCATCGTCTTGTCTCAGCTTCATTTCTTATGCTCTTTGCGTCGTCGTTCACTGACCATGCCGCTCCGATTACTGATAGGCCAATGCAAAGACCGATCCCCGCAGATGCCCATGCGTAGGGCGATATCGATTCGAGGAAGGCTCCGACGTTGAATGCTTCTCCCTCGCCTTGGAAGAGCATGTCTGCAATCGCCATTAGCTCCTGTCTCCTACTATGCAGAGTGGATGGCGTACATAAACCAATTATGGCCAGTGTCGAACCTGCACCATAGGTGCCATATGTGAGACCGCCCATGATGGCTTGTGAAGGGTAGGGTGTTGACGTCGGATGGAAATGATCGTGAAAGTGAGGTCGAATCCGTGACAGCATGTGCTGAGGTTCGAGCGGGATCAGCCGAGAACGCCGCAAACATGTCCACGTCTTCCGTCGCTATCCACCCTCCACTGGACATCCTCACACCGGCCGACAACCTCACACGTCGTCGTGTTCCCCCAGATCGTCTAGTCAAGAAGCACTATCCCGCTGTATTTCCGCAACTCTCCGTCGCCCGCTCTCGAAGATGGCGCAACCGGCGACGCCGCAGGGCTTCTACGAGCTCTACAGAGGCACTTCGTATGCATGCTGCGTCTGATCTCCTCATAGATCGTCACTGATCGGGCAATGTAGCATCGGCGTCGCTCTCGCAGATACGCTTGACGATCTCATCAGCAGCCGTCGTATCGAGCCGCAGCTGGCGATGCGCATCATGGCCAACTTCGACCAGCACATCGCCTCCGTTCTCGGTGAAAAGGTCAAGGCGCGAATGACCTTCAAGGTACGCATGAGTGTCCTTCGATTTTGAAGACTTAGCAAAGCCCGGTGCGGTTACTAAACTAGGGTAGGGTCACCTCGACGTGTATAGGTTCTGCGACGAAGTCTGGACATTCATCATCAAGGACGTCAATTTCAAACTCGACAACAACACACAACAGCTTCATGCGGACAAGATCAAGATTGTGGCTTGTCAGTCGAAGGTCGCGGAGAAGACTTAGGAGGATCCTTGCCGACCGAAGAAGCATGCGCCACGAGCCAGACCGCCACGAGAGCCCACAAATCAGGCGACTGGGCCCGAGATCGTACCTTTGCATCTATACCACAATACTCTCCATAATGGAGTCTCTGGCCAAAATGAACCAAATCGCATCATACGCGAACTTGATATCAAACGCGAGCCGGGCATCGAAAGCGGATCAGATATCAAACGCGAACCAGATACCGAACGCGGACCACATATCAAACGTGAACCAGACATCAAACGCGAGCCGGTGATCGACCGGGAGCCAATCATCAAACAGGAGCCACGCATCAAACAGGAGCCACGCATCAAGCAGGAGCCACATATCAAACAGGAGCCACGAATCAAACAGGAGCCGGTCCTCAACCGTAAGCCCGTAGTGAGAAAGGAGCATGACTGAGGGGCTGCGTTACTCAGATGTGCTTTCTAGCGCTCACAAGAATGGCAAAGTGAAGCTTTCGGGGATGTATCTCACGATGCCCATTCAGTATAGTCAAAAGTGTACGCTATCGTTGGGCCCCGTTGGCACAAAATAGACTACTTGAATTTTCGTTGTGACAGTGACCTTACGCTGATATTGACCAAAAGCCAAGAAAGTAGTCTAGAAAGCACATTCAATGAATCAATTTGCTCATTCCAGAGATGTCGTCTGTTGATTGTGTTTGCCTCTCCCATCTTTGGGTTGCGTACTAAAGCTCGACGGTGTCGATCCTCCAGATACCTAGGTATGATTGCAGGATAGTTGAGAAAGCAAGTTTGTTGTACATGGTCAAATTGTGGGTGTTCCTGCTGGAAGACAATGTGCAACAATCTCAGTTGTAGACTCATGGGCTGCGGAACTCGTGGGACGCCCCGAGCAAGACGTTCGTGGATTGACCTCCTTACAACGACCTCACCTAAAGTACCTCCTGGTTACAACCAACTCGGACCGCCAGCCATCATGTCCACACAGCCCAAAACGCAATGGCTCTTCTACGCAATCGCATCCGGAGGCTGCGCGGCTCTTAACGGAGTTTTCGCGAAGCTCACGACGACATCTCTGACAACCTCATGGGCAACCGGAATCTCGCATCTCTTTGGACTAGATGAGCCCAGCGTGATCGTGGAATTCCTCATCAGAGGCGTGAGAAAGAAAATCCATACGAAGCCAATCGAACGCGCCATCTGACATTTTGACAGTTCTTCTTTTTGATGAATTTGGCTTTCAATGGTTGTTATCTTCCTTCATATGCACCTAAGCTCAAGCTATACTAACACACTTCCTCTCCCAGCCGTAATGTGGGGACTTTTCACGCGTGCTTTGACTCTTGCGAGTAGCACAGTACGAGTGAGCGTAATCAACACCAGCGCCAACTTCTTCCTTACTGCTTTGCTCGGCGCCGTGATCTTCACAGAGTCATTACCTGGTAAATCCAAGCTGTACACAGATCACTGGACCACGACATCTGACAACTATCTAGGACTCTGGTGGTTAGGTGCCGTAATGTTAGTCATCGGATCCGTCATCATTGGACGACGAGAAGAACCTGGCAAGGAAGWTCAAGTTGGTGGAGGGACAGAGCCCGTTGTTGGAGGGGGATCTATAAACCTGGACTATACGGATGAGCCGGATGCTCCTCCGCCTAGTGTGCGTGCTCCCCCAAAAAGTAGCGGCGAAGCAACTTACGAGGAGAGTAGCGATATCGAGTTGGTGAACCCAAGCAGCAAAGCCGGAGGCGGCACCGCAAGTAGATGAAGAATCTACTCCCAGTTTGACACACGGCTCTAGCTCACGTAAATTCACCTATCATACCGGTCACATTCAGCCTGTCCCAGCGCCAGCAGCCTCAGTGTGACATTCGGACCAGGCAACGTCACGAGAGTCGATTCTGTACAAACTACGACTACTTATACAAGAAACCCGATCAGCGTCTCCAGCATCTCTCTCGTGTCTTCATCGTCCTCGAGACCTTTCCTTTGCTCGTCGAGTGACTTGCGGATATTGTTGAAGAGGTCCTCATCAACGGAAAGCGCTTGCACTTTCTTTTTCACGACTTGATCCTCCGCGATGAGCCACGCGAGGATGACATCAATCGTCTGTAGGCAGAACAAGCCGCYGTCCAAACGGCGCGAGAACCACTCATCAGCACGCTCCTCGCTCTCCTCTGCGGAGAGCGTTKATTGCTCATGGGCGATGTTCTTGTCAACGACTGCCACCTTTCGAGCGTAGTCCTTGCGCAGCTGAAGCAGCTTCGCCACCTTCTCGTAATCCTTTTCGGCGAACTTGGCAAGTGTTCGTATTCTCGCCGGCGATTCTCCAGCAAGAAAACGCAGCAACGCAGCCGATATGCCCAAGATGTGTTCTGTTACCGTACTATCGGCCTTCTTCATGAACATCGAGAAGATTGGTTTGAGACCCGCAGCTTCAACCACCCTTTCGCAGACGTTTGCAGAAGAAGACYCACGTTGCGAGCCCACTGCGTGATCTAGAACGCGTAGTGCTCGTTGAGAGATATTTTTCGTGCCTTCCTTCAGCATAATGAGGCATAGCTMCACTCCTTCCGCTTCGACGAACTTGCTCTTGCCTTCTGGCTCGTCGACAACACATGTCAACGCATCAAACAAGTTCTCCGCAAATTCTTCCTCGTGGCTGTCCTTTGGTGGGTCGCGTTTTCGATATGCGGCAAGTAGCTGGAGAAAAAGATCGACGCCATCGATGTCCTCAGCTAGCCGCCTTCGCAGCGGCACTGAACTCTGCAGGAGCACTTGAAGCACTTCTGCAGCGTACTGCTTGTTTTGGCCGACAGGCTTTTCTGCCTTTTTCGCGCGGTTACACAACCACAGCAGCACTTTCTCCTGGCCAATCTTCTCCGCTACGGATTGCTGGCTAGCAAGGTTCTCCAGCACCGACAGACTGTGATAGACTCCGCTTCGATCACTCTCGTTATCCTCATCCAGTCGTGCCAGATTGCTCATGAGTAGGTCAAGAAGATCGGCATCGAGCATTGCACCAGCGAGAGCACTCCATTGATCCGGCCCAGCTTCCACGTCCTCGTCCAGTAATTCAGAGAGTATCTCAATCGCGCCGATCGCAATGTCCGTGTTTTCATGCGCCAACAATCCGACCAGACTCGCGACCGAGTTGGACTCTGCGAATTCAACATATAGCTCAGGGTGTTCACTCAGCAAGCTCCAGCTCTTGATCTCCGCATCCAAGTCTGCTTCAGAATCGATGAACTTTGCCGGATCGTTCTCGTATCGTGCTCTGAGTTGCGCGTTCTTCACCACCTTCTTCTCGAAGCTCGTCGCTAGCCGCCGTAGCCATGCCGAATCGATAATTTCCTCTTTGAGATCTTCTCCATCCTGCTCATCCAAATAGTCCAATGCCTCTTCGCCGCCTTTGGTCACGCCGCTGCCAAAGAAGCGACCATCTTCGTCGTCATCTTCGTCATCCGGGGGTAGCTCTGGCCCAGCCTCTAAGTCGTCGTCCTCCGCGTCCTCTACTGTTGCGCCATTCGTGTGATTTGGTGATGAAGAGCTTGACAGTTTCGTGGCTTTGTACACTGCTTGTGCGTCTGGTGCCTCGAACTTGCGCTTGTGCGATGCAACTGACGCTCCTGGCTTCTTGAAGAGTTCATCGATGCTTGTCATGATGTCGTTTGCGATGTGTTAGTTCAACTTGCTGGAGGAAAGTATCGAGCAGGAACACGGACTTTGGAAGGTTTGACGAAAGCTTAAAAAGCCCGGGCAGCTTCCACTGCTCGGCTGCTCTGCGCACGACAACGTCAACGTACGCCATACCAGACTCTTCCGCGACTTTGACGAGGGAGAAGCAAGGCTCACAAAGTCTCGCGAGGCAACATGCGCTCAGGCTGACATGTCATCGGAACCGCGCTGAGTAATCTGCCTTTGACCGATTCAAGTACATTGTCCACATGRCAAACCCCGATACAACAGAACCACCTGCACCTTTGAGAGCTCGCAGCGTATAGCTAGCTATAGGCGAGCCGCTGCTTCGAACACCGCCACTTGCGCATTCTGGCGGGCTTCTGCAACTTGCCCACTATCATCGCATCGCAAAGCTGTGACCGTTCTCCTTCCGCATTCAACGCAGCCTGAACTTGTAGCGCGAATGCATTGGGCCATCGAGCAATCTCGCTCGGTATAGACACTTGGCAGGCTCCCTTGTTCGTGGCATGTTCCGTATTTGGATCGACGGGAGGCAAGAGCAGCGTGTAAACTACTCCTCGTGCGTCTTCGTAACAGACAAACAATGTAACCCAATTGGACCACTTTTGCAGCGAATCCAATGGTTCCGATCGCTGGCTAAAGGATCTAGCGTTCATAGTTACAACTCTCGCTAAAAACCTGGTTCGCGAGACGAGCTCGCGTGTCTCCCTCGAGGCGCAATTCGAAACGAGGCTTGGAAGTTGCCGCATCCTTCTCGTCGGACCTCTATCCGCAATCGCTAGCCAATTGCACCGGGCAAACACTGACGGCGACAGCTACCAAATCGAGAGCACACCATCGTCATGAAAGTTGGCCGACACATGCGTCAAATTCTGTCACATGAAGGYACCGATCGGATGAGATGAAAATTGATTACTACCTAGCCTGAGTACCGGACGCTACAATTCGATCCTTCTCACACAATACTTTCGGAGGTACCTAGTTTTGGAGGGTGGCGATATGCAGGCTCCGGATTGGCCCTGCAATACCAAGCAGCGTGAGACTGTGAGTCTCTGTGGATTTTTGGCACTCGAGCACTCTACTCCGTATACCATATTGCTGCGTTGCGAGCCATGTCTCGAAGATGTCATATCAAATCGAGCTTGTGATTCCGACTTGGCGCATAGAGACACGCTGAGTTACTGTAAGGTCTCTAGGCGCGCCGCAGCGGCACCTTCGGCGCGCCAACACGTTTGCCCCACGCTGAAGTCTGGACTTCTCCAAAGTCCAAAGTGCCGAAATGGGAAAACACTGTATTTGGAGTTTGAGCTAATCCGGCCGGATCTTCGTCTGCATCRGCATCCCGTCAAGTGTTTGGATTACACTTTTCACCAGGATCGTAAAAAAAGTAGGCGAAGGCGGTTACCTATCAGCCGAATTCGCCGACGGAAAAGAAGGAAAGAAAGCCGGCAGTTCTGCAACAGGTCCAGCGATGTCTCACGCGATCCCAGATCACAGCAGACGTCGCGGACTGCACTTTCCGGTTCAAGGCAACGGCCGGGGAGAAGGCCAATTAGGGGGTCGATTGTCACGCAGGAGTACTTTACGCTCCTATGACTCCTTTGTGGTAATGATTTACCGCGCTCGTACATCACGAGACGCGCTGCTATCGAGTCGACCACGATGTCTCGCCAACTTGCAATTGGTGCACATATAACATCGACCGGTGGCATCGAGCGGATCAACTGTAATAGTCACTGCAACTAGACTGGCACACAGCGGGCCGCGAGAAAGCAAAAAGTGAGCGAGCGAGCTTGAAGTTGGTATTGGGCCTGGCCAGACGCATCCAATAGATGATGACTTCGATTCGCGCTTGACCAATATACACCGAGCTGGTCGAAGCATCATTTTAGTGACTGCAATGACGACGCCGCGGTAATGACTTTGGTGAGACAAAATTACGCAGCAGCCCTGGAAGAGGAAAGCGTAAAATAATCTTGCTGTGCTCCGAATGCGCGGTTGTGCCGACGCGGCCTTGTCAATCAATGACATAACCTAATTTAGCATGACAGAAAGCCTACTGCGTGATGCCGAGGACATTTCACTGGTGGAAACGTATCACCTGAGCTAAAATCTTCCTGATGCGGATTGTGCTCAAATCTATCCCAGCAAGCTTGCGCCTGCTGTAAAAGGCTAGCAAGTCGGTGGCATCCCAGTCGCGGACACGCGGGTGTGCTGTGCTTGGCCAGGCTCGTCAGGGTTCATTTCTGCGGCACAGATGATGTGTTGACCTTTTGGGAGTACATGAGTACCGATCCATCCGCCATGGCCGATCGACCGCTTCCGTGCGACTCTTTGCGACCGAGCGGATATGGAGGCTATTCTATTCTACGGTGACCAGGACGAGGCAACCAGGCGGCAAGTTCGCTCTGTCGCTGCCCAATACTCCCATCGGATTGGACCCAGGAAGCGCAAAAAGTCCAAGTTGCCAAAGCAGACGGGACAGGAAAGCAAACGAGGCCACTACAAGAAGTTGGCAACGACTACATCTGATACTGGTGCATCTTCCTCGAAATCGCATCAAGATCATCCCTTCCAAACAGTGGTCTCTAGTCAGCAGTACGCCTCGCATGGTCAGGCGCAGGCGCAGGCAGAGTCAGATGTTGGCGGCTCGCTGGATGCCCAGCRGCGGATGCAGAGAGACCTCCAAATACGCAGAGAGTTGAGCGGGTCTGAGACATGCGCTTCGTCCAGCGAGGTCGGATCGGATCCAACTCTGTCCCCGCATACTCCACAGTTCGATCTGGTCCGAAGCACAGGTGCATCGCAATCACCGGACAAACCGCCGTCGGCTTACAGAAGATTACCTGCGTATACCTGGACAGAATATCCTCGCTATGTCGGCAATCAGAGTCCTGCGTCTCCCCCGAAGTTTACACCAACCAGCGCGATTGCTGCAAAACGGCGAACGTTGGAACTTCCCGATCCTGCAGGACTTAGCTTGCAACAAAACGCTCCGCGATCACACCCCATGGACACACCTCCAAGACTTGCTCATTCGCACTCAGAAGGCGCCTCCTCCGGTCACATGTCATCCCGAAACTCCCAGCGGATCAGCGACGGACATGCTATGTCGAAAGAGGAAACTGCATGGGGTCAAATTTCTTCTCCACCGCGATTGCAGGTCTTGAGATGCGCAACAGAAGCAAACGATGAACCGGGCGCCGGTGCAGCGCGATGGCGAAGTGGCACAGTCGGTGGTTTCAGTCAATCATGTCCTCCAGGTTGAGGCTGGGTGGCGGGTCAATAATCTTTGTCACATTGAAGTTGAGTATCTTACCACCTTGGGACTATCATTGGAATTACGCCTGCAATGCCACAAGGACTGTCTGCAAACGACAGAACGAGTATACCGTTCAATGGCAACCTAATCGGACTTTGCTGGCACGAACATAAGCACCCAACACATTGGTGTGTTGCGCCGAGCGAGCAGCGTGCCCCTCTGATGATGGAGATCGACGTCTATCCCGATTTGCCATTCATCACATGCTGGAGTGAATGGGACATACATTCGATGACGCGAACCTGATGCGGAAACGTGGGCAGCACCTCACAGTTGCAAATCAACCATTCGCGCTCATATGCGCACGCGCACGAAAAGCAAGAACAACGTTGCGTCACATTCTCGAGTGTGGGGCAGAAACCGTTGTGGGGCAGGGAAACGCAGATGGTTTGAGCCGTTGAGGAGACGGGCCATGCCTCTTGAATTCTCTGACGCATAGATTTCGATGAGTGGTCTGAATAGCTTTTTGCCCAGACGTGGGGGGTGGGCTCAGGGATGGGATCATGAGAACGACATATCGCTGTTGAGGCTTGAGTCTTGGGCGTCTTATCTGCGAGCGGGACCTGGGATTAGAAGTGATAGAATGAACAGACTTATGCCGCCGTGGCGTGGCCTTTTATACAGTCTTGTTCGTCTTTGAAGAATAGGTACTGTATATGTATATATATATATATATATATATGTGTGTGTAAACAAAACAGGAAACATCGTAAAGTCCTTCGTTACAGACACTTTCTGCATCCTCAGCATTTCGCATCATCTGCGGGTAGTACAGATATTTATGGTATGGTCTCTTGAGATGCTAAGATGACCTMTCCGAGACCTCACGCAACGCCGCGCTTGAAATGCTCTAATAACTTTCATTTCGCTAAGGGAAACTTCAGATACTTGTCACGAACTCATCGAAAGATCTCGCAAGGTATGCGGACACAAGCTTTCGCCAGTCCAGTTTCAAAGTATCGCCCCCAGCGCCAGAATCAATGCATCCATTGCCAAACCCGTGCCATGCTCGCCCGTGTAGGCTCACAAATTCACCAGGCGGCAAGCACATTTGGAAGACTTGCCAATCAGTCAATGCATCTGCCTGAACAGACTGATGCAATTTGACCAGAGCTCGCTCCCTACGGGTGCTGGGTTCCACGCATTGGAGAGAAAACTGTGCAGTCTCGAAGCCTTCACCCAAATCGATATGATGGAACTTGAAGATCATTTGCGCGTGGCCGCCCGGACGTAGCGGATACTCGCTTGCAAGAGATACGTGGATGCTGATCTTCAGAGTCGGGAGCAGCTCGTTACGAAATATGTCATTGGCGCAGACCATGGTGCGATGGTCCACCAGACGAAGCGCGTGGAATAGATCGTATGGCGGGACATGGCGGAGGATGGAGAGCCAGATTTCTGTTGGGAGGTCCCGAGACGCAGATCTCATAACGCCGGTGTTTGCGATCTTGACGAAGGTGATGATGTGCAAGTGCAAGCATCAGGGAGCGAGGTGAAGTATGATCGACTCGGTCGTTGCTGCTCCTGAGTTCCTTCCCCTCTTGTCCTGAAGCACCCCACAATCGCAGCCACATCCCACAGCCACTGTTCCATTCACATTGGTCAGAACAAACATCTCGAGTCACTACACTTGACAAGACACACTTTGCAAACATGGAGAATAGCGCTGGTGATTCAAAGGTGCGTTGTCACCTTCAAAAGCATTGCCCTCCTTTGAGAGGAGGATCGTGCTGACACCTCCCCAGACAGCAGTCGACTATCTCGATCCCACTAACGAGCCAGAGCCATCTACCGAGACTGGTTTGGGCTCTCACTTTGGCAGTTCGTTTGATCCATCTATGAAGAAGAATGCCACCAGACAGCAGCCTGCTCAGTCGGCACCACAAGCATCAGCGGCTGAGAAACTCTCAACCACGTCGTCCAGCATGACGACCGCGCAACTGCAGGCGGCCGCTGCCGAGGGTGATCCCAACAACTTGCAGAAGAAGAAGTAATGGTGAGCTGTGATCGATCTTCCAACATTCGAAGAATGTCGTTGACAACCCATAGGCAGTCGCGACAAAAATGCCATGTGGTTACAACAGCACACATCTCAGCACACAAGGAATCAATGTACTCCTGGCGGAATACACAAAGTTGCACTCAATGACTATGACGAGCCTGATATTTGAGTGACGATAGCTACTCTAGACTTTCAATGCCGGAATGACTTGATGGTTGTATGCTTTCATCTCTTCCCGCTTCGTTGTTTCCATGCGTTCGTCCATGCTTCGATCATGAACCTTTTCATAATCTTTCTCCACCCGCAACCTGGATCCCATAATCTGCATAAGGGAAAGCCTCCAGCGTAGAGAACAATCTCGCCCATCCATCTCCAACTTCTCCCGGTGCAGCACCATTCCCTCCTTCGGCCTCCTTCATCTCCCCCGTCAAGCCTGCAAGAACCTCATCCTCCCGTCCCTCGTATTCCTGCAACAAGCCTGGATGAGGACACCACACAACCTGCATCCCCGCTCTCCTCCCACTCTCCACACCTGGAACACTATCCTCAAACACCAAGCACTCCTCCGGTTTGACCTCTTCTTTTCCCTCTCTCTTCAATCGATCATTGATTGTCTTCAATGCAAGCAGATAGATATCCGGAGCCGGCTTGCCCCTCCCCTGTGCGATTCTCTCATCGTCCCCCAGCACTCTATGTTCCTCCTCAAAGACCTTGAAGTGCTGCTCCAAATGCTTCGTCTTGAGTTCGAAGTTCGCTTTATGTGAACTGGTTGCCAGTGCGATCTGTATGGCCGGAGTCGTGCGTTTTGCGAGGGTAGAGAGGAGCTCAGGGACCCCAGGGAGTGTCTTGCAGAACCCAAAGTGTTGCTTTTGATGAACGTTGACTTTGGCAATCATCTCCTCGCGGGAGATGGGAAGTTGAGCCCAATCCATGAAGATCTTGCCAGCCTGCGGATCGTCAGTGGGAGTGGTCTACCGAAGTGGGTGTTGACGGCCATACCGTAGGACCAGGTCTGCCTTGCATCTGCGCCTTGATGTTCCATGGTAGATCCGGCTTTCCATATTCTCGCAGCACTGCATTCGTGCAGATAGTATATTTGTCCTCGGAGTCGATCAACAGGCCGTCCATGTCGAAGAGACAGGCCCGAATTGCGGGGACCCTGGATGCAACCTGTGCATCAGCTGTGAGCGCCGGTGATGAGGTCAATTTGGGCAGTAGACTCACTGTTTCGAGGGCGCCATTGTTGGAATGGCTTGTTTGGTGTGTGTGTGTGTAACAAGAAGCAGTGGTGCATGCACGATGAGATGGGGAGAAAGATGCAGCGGGGCGATTGAGTTTACATCATCATACCTAAATCCGAAAGAACGATATAAAATATCCATCTCGTCTCACCCGCCATTAGTCTGGCAATATGCAAATCAACGCCCAAGTCCGTAACAAAGGGTATCTTTCCGCTTCAAATGCAAGAATGTTCTTGCTTGCCTTGACCTCCTCGCATGCTACGCTTCGATTCCATATCGATCTCTCATGTATCCAAAGCGGTCGACCTCATTCCACCATTTGCTCACGATGTTGCGTCTCCTCCAAGGTTTTCAACTTGATGAATTGGGTTTCTTATAAATTTGTCGTTGAGCTCTTCCGCTTCACTGCAGATGCAACGCCTTCTTCGTGTTCTCATAAACAACATAAGTCTATGGACACGGGTCAGCAAACTCCACAATCGATAAACATTCTCGCATGATAGACTTACGATTGACACCGACGGAACGACTTTGAACAGATTCGGAGTCAGACCCTTGAACAAACCCCTTACTCCCTCTCCTTTCAGTGTCTGTCGCGTGACATCCATAATGCCGGTGTAGGTTCGTGGATGGCCTGGTGTACCCTGACTCTGCAGCCTAGTACGCAGCAGATTGATGGGGTAAACCGCACTCGCACCAATAGCCCCACTGAAGCCACCCATCAGCGCGAGATAGAAGTTACCCGGGAGAGCATCCTCGTCATGCTTTATCGTGGGATCCAATCGTCGGCTTCTCGCCACCATCTTCTTCTTCAGCGTCTCAAACACGCTCAGGTCAATGGCCGCGTAGGGAAACATTCCTATCAAGCCCATAGGGAGAMCGCGGTAGAAGGCCTGAATGCCGCCATTTCGCCACATCTTTCCAGCCGTGGACATGATGAGACGATTGCCCGTCTCACCGCCTGCGATGGTCGAGCACTGCATCTGGAACTTGAGCGTATCAAGCGGATAGACGGCCGCTTGTGCTACCATTCCAGCCATGCCACCGGCTACGAACATGGATGTAGGCTTGATACGTTTCGGGTCGTTGTGGCCCTCTAAACCAGCGATTGCACGTTTGGAGGCCTGGTGTTCTTCGTTAGCCCAGTCGCAATGTCGAAGGAGAGAATACAGATCTTACCTCGTACGCGCCAAATTTGACGGATGATTCCGGCATGACTTTTATAACGTTGAGGCCATTTCCTGTCACGTTCAATCAGTCCCGTATTGCTCGGCATCTACTTCACGTCGAACTCACCAGCAAACAGACTACGAATGCCGCCCGCGGYCCACAACTCATTCCATGCCAACATCAGCGTCCTAGCACCATGCTTGGTCGCAGCGAGAGGTCGACCCTTCTTGGCAAGCCGTACGGCATCGTCTGCATTGCCCGTCTGCGCGATCAGGTACACTTTGAGCCTGTCGAGTGGCGCGGTCAGGGTTCTAGAGGTAATACCGCTGAGACCTCCGGCCGCAAAGTAGCCTACATGGGGCACGAAGTCTATCAGCTTGACGTTCTTCTTGCCTTCATCCTGCGATTGCTGTCCATCGGACGTCACATCCGGAGCTTTCGCGTTGTCTTCTTTCCGACGGGCTGGCTTAAGCGGCATGTAGGGGTCGTCGTCGGTGGTGTTGTCGTCGTCAACACCGGGAAAGTGTAGCTGTGGCCGACTCTCACTGCCTTCCCACATGGATATAGGCGTGGCCTGGCTGGTCGTATCGTGGTGGTCCACCAAAGGTCGTTTGGCCGGTTCAACAAGCTGGGTAACTGCGCCGAACAGCGCATTTTTTAGAAAAGCGAGAACCGTACCTAACCCTTGTAGAGCCTCGTCGCTCATATGAACATCGCCTTCGGCGGAAATCTTCGAGGTAGATTGGTAATAGGAGAAAATGGCCTTGAGGCCGGGTGCGTTGGTAGGAATGAAGAGCAGGAAATCTACCCAGCTTCCGTTAGCCCTCTCTTCCACGCAAATGTGTTTGAGGAGTCTGTTTCTCCATGGTGTAGTGCCTACCCCGCCATTCGCTGAAGTCGATGGTGCCATCGTGGTCCTTGTCGATGTAGTTGAAGAAACGTTCTAATCGTGCGTTGGATACAGCCACGCCAGCTCTTTCAAAGGCAGCAGAAAGCTCCTTCTTCTCCAGTTTTCCACTAGAGTCACGGTCGATGGCTTGGAACAACTGCCATAGTTCCTTTTCCGTCTGCGTACAGAAGCGGCAGAACTCTTTGTAGCTGATACGGCCGTCGTGGTCGATGTCACACGCGCGTAGCATGTCTTTGATGAGGGCGTCGGCATCCTTAAGGGCTGTGTTTGATAAATTGATCAGCGATTCGTCAAAGATATCTTGAAGAACCAGCTGCTGGAATGTTGGGATAATGGATGGGAGGCTCACGGTGCTGCATCTTCTCTAGTCCTTGCTTCAAGTCGGCATAGTCCAAGCTGCCGGTACGGCGCACGTCGAGCCTGCGCCATAGCTGCTGAAGTCGCTGCTCCCGCTGTGCTTGGCTCTCGCCGTCCATAGCCGCCAATCGCAAGGGCACTGTGCTATCTCGCCCGCATTGCGGGTGATCGGGAGGCCCGACCGGAGTATAGGGGGTCCTGGAGCGATTCTATGGCGGAGGAACGGCGTCGTATGACAGTATGTATCGCGACTGTAGAAGATGTGACAGGTGGTGCGGGTAGTGCCGGGAGAGGAGGTGTGTGTCTTGTGCAGCTCGCGGGCGTCGGGTTCGCGCAGGTCCAACAAATTAGAAGAAATGTGTAGCGATAGTAGATGGTGGTCCGGCAGACTGCACGCGTTCGCGGTTCCGAATCTGCACTTGTCCGTGTTTAAGAACGATGGAGACACCGTGAACCACCACGACGGACGAGATCTGTTGCTGCTGCTGAAGCTTTCTGTCCAATGACATAGTTTGCTGACTTGACAGGTACCCACTCGCTTGGCTAAACTTCCATCTACCGCAAAGACCGATCGCTTCCGACCCCCCTATTGCTATTGCTGTTAACATTGTTCACCGCCGAAGATAGGGAACAGAAGAGGTATCTTTTCAAACTTCATTGACCATATCTAAAGACCTTCGCCGTTACATCATCCTGTTGCCTGGCGTCACTGCGACGACCCTCTATCGGTTCCCGGATAACATTCAACTCGTATGGGCAAGCCAGGAACCCTGGCATCGGCCTTCTTGTAAGCTCGACTCGATCTCGCCTGTATATGCTCGTCCGACCCTCGACGGTGCCCGGTACAGCTGATGAATCGAAGACGCCAATAATGCCGTCTCTTCAAGCAAACCGCTGGGCCTCCCAATGTAGGATGTGTTGCGTGAGAAGGCAACCCAATGAACCCAGGATCTCGAGGGTTTACGGGTCGGTCATTGGTGCCAGAGTGAAGGCATCAACAAGGAGGTCAAGACATTCCACCGTCTTCTGCATGCATCTCTTCTCAATCACTCTCACCCAGCACTCCCCTTCCCACTGCTCAACCACCAAACCAACACAACAAACCACAGCATCAACGCAATGGGATTGAACAGAAACAACACAACTGGTGTCGGCCTCATCAATGCCATGACCACACTTTGTGCAGATTYTCCTCTCCAAATCTCAAACTTCTTCATTCGTGTTTCTAGTCTTCTCGCAAAATCATCCAACGTGAGATTGTTCTCGGTATTGTACCAGCCAGGAGAATCTTTGCTGGATCTTCTTGAGCTTCCTGGTCTGGATCGCGGTGTAGAAGCTCCAGACAGAGTGGGGGATGGAGGGGCGGAGCCGAACGTAGCGAGCGTTGGGAGAGAGATTGAAGAGGAAAAGCTTCGAGTGAGACGTGTGAGAGAGCTGTGTTGTCGTTCGGGTAGGAGTGAGATCTCGGTGGCTGTACGGCCGTTCAGGACCAGAGACAGCGTATTCATCTTGGTGTATATCTCCGATGAGCAATGCGGATCAACAGCCTTCCCTTCGATCAATATGTATTTAGCAGATGTACACGAGATATCCCTCGCAAAGATATGTGAGTCACTTAGAACTCTTCGACCTCCGAACAGCGTCATATATGAGTGCAGCCTTTATCTACGACCCAGCATTTACCTCTCACTCATTACCGCAAAATCGGCAACATAGCGGGGATATCTGCGTGGTTGGGTACATAGGACATGGTTGTGGGTGCAGCCCCACCTACGATTCGCTGTTCGTTCGTGCGAGGTCTTGCCGTTCCTGGAAAATTTGACCAATCAAAGTGAATGATTCCGCACGAGGAACATATATAGGCGTCGGGGAGTAAGCATGACTCTGCGACAGGTCAGATGAACGGAATCAAGAGCTATGATTCCGTCGTAAATACACGTCGATCAGTTTCGGTGATGAAGTGGCGAGGCTGACTGTCCTACTTTTGTGATGATACAGTGCTCGGCGTTGACTGCTGATCAGGCGCCATAGCTACTGGTAGTGCACGTTGCCGTTGGTACAAAGCTCCGTCATTGCTCGCATGTGCTATCACGACCTTCTGCTTGCTAGCGATCATTACTGGGGACTGGTTCCCGGAATTCTTCCTGTCCTTCAGGATAGGGCAGCTATCGCTAGGCCCCTCCAGGCGGCCAGTCCTTGAAACCAGCATCGTCTCCATCACGGTTGGTCAAGTATCCAAACACGTCCGGGCGATGTAGGATATATTCAGGCACATCCTTGTTCTTCTCAACCCGCGCATACTTCTCGCCAACCCGGGCGAACAGATCCTGGCCTTTCCTGACCCGCCCCACTATCGTCTTTTCGTTCCTATTGGCTTCTGTGTTCCAAGGGGTGTGACTGAACGAAGCCATCTTATCCTTCATAGCCTCCAGCGTGGAGAAACAGCTCGAGCAATGCCATCCGGCATTTCTCATATATCCGCTTTCCCACCACCGTCTCCACCAGCTTCCTCCAATTCCATTTCTCAGGAAGTTTGGCGAAATCGTGRCTTCTTTCCCTCGGAACGTCGTGGCCTGCGGATGTGGCCACTGCGGTCCAATATGCTCCCATTGGAAACTGTAATAATAAAAGCGACTCTGCAAGGTCAACCTCTCTGGGAATTGACAGTGTTTCAAGACATCCACGGTCTCAGGTTTGGGAACTTCATCAACATCAGAAACAATAATGACATCCACTCCTTCCCTCGCCTGCTCCATTGGAAAAGCGCTGTAGAATAATGAATTCCGCAAGAAGTCCTCATGCTGCCAGGTGCTCGTGCCGATTTCTGGACCAGGGTCCTCGACCACTTTGTGCACGATCTTTTCGTGAAATTCCGCGAATCTAGACCAGTTCTCTTTTAGATGAAGAGGTTTGGGCTTCCCTGTGAACGTCGTCGCTGATTCCACGATGACAAAATAGTCTACGTATGGAGCAAGGGTGTTCAGGCGGATCTCCAACCAGTCCAGTTCGGAGGAGAAGAGGAAGAGGTCAAAGACCTTTCGTTTGCCTTCCTCTCCATCGGGATGTTGGAACTGATGATAGCCATGTGCTTTGCAAATGTCTGTTTCTTCGTAATCCGCCGTGGGAGGAGAATGGCCATACAAGTTTGTGTAGCTCCAGGGTAATTGTGCTGCGGCTGTCTGGCGATTCCGCAATATGAACAGCAGGAGTAAGGTTGTTGAGATTGCTGCAGTGGTAAGGAGCATATTTCGCCGCGGACGCGAATAGTTTCGAGCCATAACGACTATATTCTKATAATTCTGTCCCGCCTTTCGACAGTGTAAGAAAGAAATATCGGGATGTCCAGAGCCAGGGGAATCGCGGATATCATGCTGCAAAATTGTACCGTGCTGTCAGTTCATGATGCTCTCGGCATTGGCATGATGGATGGTCGCTGTCAGTCAGATACCATCGAAGATGTCATGAAGACAAGATGAAAGGAGAACGTTTGCGTGGTCGAAACCAAGGAGCTGGACTGCATTTGGATATGATCGTTGTAAGGTTTAGGGTATCCGATTTGTCGGAGGCGGCTCGCTCCTCCCTTCGCGTGGAGATTTGATGGTGGGGGCAAGGGTGTTAAATGCAGATGCGCGCCGCCGTCGCCGAGGCCCATGTCGAGCATACTGCTCAGGTCTGATGAGTCGGCCAGTCGAGTAGGAGTAGCTTACATGTACTCTACAGACTGAGGAGATGCATGTCGGATATGTTCTACCTAGTGGTGTTGGTCGTCAGATGTCAGGATCGCAACGCGGAATTCGCCCGCTGCTGAGCTTTTGATTGCTTCACTTCCAACAGTCTCAAGCTCTGTATATTCAACAACATCCGATATCATAAAATGGCCGACGCTTCTGAGTCGGGCAGCTCAACGCCCAACACGTCTCGATGGACTTCTCAGGCGCATGCCGTCGAAGATCGGCTGAAAGAAGAGACAATTGGACTCGTAACGCTCGATGACTTCCGCAAGAGACGCGCAGAAGCTCTGGAAGCTGCGCAAGATGTCGGCGGCAGCGGCGCAACGACACCGGAAGGGCGGTAAGGACCATCGTGTTGTTGGTATTTATTTGAACGGGTGCTGACGACCCCAGCACAGTGAGACGGCCGCTCCAAGCGCATTCAAGAAGCGGAAGAAGGGCGTGAAGAAGGGCATCCTATCCTTCAACGACGAAGAAGCGGATGCCGAGACCGATGAGACCGACACCAATACGGCGCGGTCCAACACACCTGCCGAGAACAGCAACTCAGACTCGGTGCAGCCATTCAAGAAGCGTGGTCTGCGCCCAAACGCAACTGTTGCACACCAGCCAAAAGCTCTCACAAAGTCCGCCTTGCTGAAGGAAGCGCAGTTGAAGGAGGCTCTCAGAAAGGAGTACACCCAGATTCAGGAGGCTGTGAAAGCGACGGAATTTGTGCTGCCTTTTGTGTTCTACGATGGAAAGAACGCGCCTGGCGGTATGTGCCGGATGAAGAAAGGTGATCATATCTGGTTGTTCCTGGAGCGGGCGAGGAAGGTCGGAGCCGACAGGGCAGACAAGAGTCGGCGCGATTGGGCGAGAATATCCGTGGACGACCTGATGCTGGTCAAGGGTGATATCATCATTCCTCAGGTAGGACATTCGTTTCTAGAGAGATTCATGGCTTGCTGCGTTGCTGACCTTTGATCCAGCACCAGGATTTCTATTACTTTATTATCAACCATACGGTTGGTTATCTTGGGCCATTATTCGTCTATTCCTCCGAGCCGACACCCGCAACACCAAAGAATCTTTTGCCTTCGTCGACGGAACGTAAGGATGAAGAAGTGCAAGCGGGGCTCATGACAGCTGCAGAACGGCGGCAGCAAGCTGCGGCTGCGGCTGTGGTCGGTCTTGACGATTCAGAGCTGGAAGGCTTCAACGACGATCCGAACTTGACGAAAGTGGTCGATCGCCGGTGGTACGAGCGCAACAAGCACATCTACCCTGCGAGTAGCTGGGAGGAGTTTGACGAGAAGAGGGACTACTCGACCGGTGTGAGAAAAGACAAGGACGGAAACAACATGTTTTTCTCCAGGGCAAGGTGATCTGGCATTCGGCGGGACTGATCAGGCATCAGCATGGACTTCCCGGGTTACGATCTGCATTGATGTCTGGATCTTGCAATCTTTCATCAATCAAATTGAATGTGCAAGTCTACGCCCTTGACGCGCAGCTTCCGCACACTTCGATTATGACGGGCGCCAATCAGTGGTCGGCAGAGATGCACAGCCGATTGCAGTCTGCTATGCCGACGGGAGACTGGGTTCGAAACACTTAGGTGAGAGAGGGGACACGGGGAGGCAGAGCAAAAGTCTGCGGGATTCCAAAGGATAAAACAACCAGGCTGTTTGCAGRCGTCTTACCGAGCGAGTCCCGGGGGTACTGGCTGGCGTTGGAGGATGAACAGTGAGATGTCGATAAGATATCGACGGTTTGAAGATGCTCTGTCAACCGGGCGTCAAATGCCAATAACCAGATGAAGTCAGCTATCTGGGCAAGCGAGTAGTTAGGACATGTTACCGCCTTCCTATAGTTCAATACGCCTCGCTACTCGTGATGAACCCAGGCGCCTTCTCAGGTGTCTCTCATGGAGCATGCTCACGATCATCGAGCAAGAATTTGGAGGAAACTGCAGGGATCTTACTAATCTGTCGCCGTCAAACTCCAACTAAACTTGGGCTCCTCCTAATTCTGCAACAAACATGACAAGCCGCTTTCAGAAAGAGCTAGATGTGGCATGCATCGCTGTGCAGCACTGCGCAGTCCTGACGCAACGTCTACAACGAGAGACTCTCAGCCAAGATGAACAGGTTGAGAAAGGTGACCTGTCACCCGTGACGATTGGGGACTTTTCCGCGCAAGCTCTCCTCACTTCTGCCACTCATTGTGCTTTTCCAGACGACCGCTTCTTAGCTGAAGAATCTGCCGATGACCTGAGGAGCAATGCATCACTGCTGGACCACGTTTGGAATCTGGTAGAATCAGTGGCGCCTGCCTTCAAGGAAACCTCGCTCTCAACACCTTCRTCGAAGGATGAGGTGCTTGATCTCATCGATTTAGGTGGCAAGAATGAAAACAGCAAAGACGGCAGACTGTGGGTCTTCGATCCGATTGATGGCACAGCGAGCTTCCTGCGAGGCCAGCAGTACGCCATCAACTGTGCCTTCCTTGTTGATGGCAAGGAAGAGATTGGCATTATTGGGTGCCCGAATGTATTGATCGACTCTGATACGATCAGTGAAGATGCCGTAGACTCAGAAGGACTCGGTGTCATGATCTTCGCGGTCCGCGGAGAAGGTACTTGGGTGCGGCCGATGCAGAATGATGGCAAACTTGCGGCTGCAAAACGCATCCCACGCCATGGTGAGGACGCCAAACTGGAGAGTCTGAAATGGTCGGACTGTTCAGCCTATACGTCGACAATTCTCCCGCTTCACCAGCAGGTTGCGGCAAAGCTGGGGACTTCTTGGCCGGGTGTTGACCTTTTCAGCTCGTTGATGAAATATGCAGCGCTGGGTCTAGGACGATCGGATTTGGTGGTTCGAATCTTCAAGTACACAAGCTGGCGGAGCAATATGTACGTATCACATGTATGATGATGCTCATAGGTAGTTGTGCTAACACGATTTGAGGTGGGATCATGCAGGTGGTGTTCTCATATTCGAGGAGGTCGGCGGGAAAGTCACTGATCTGGATGGAAACTCCATCGACTTTACGCAAGGGCGTAAGATGGCTGCGAGTAAGCTCATATCTTTCTACCGCAGTTGTATGTCTCGTGCTGATCATCATAACACAGATTATGGACTGGTCTGCGCACCGAGCAGTGTTCACGCACATGTTCTCGAGCTGGCCCGTCAGGTCATCGAGGCACACGTCCAGGCAAACGGACCAATGCCTGTGAGAAAGTAGCTTTGGGGTGGGGTCTCACTCCGCTGCGCTTATACACGGCAAGATACCAGGAGCTCTGAAGAAATATCGTAGCTTAGCAAAGGATTATAGACTTGACGATCAATGACTCTGACTTTTCCATTCCGTTCAAGCAATGCCGCCCTACCTGTAGCAGGCAAAAATCTTGTATTTTCTGCAAAAGCGACAGCACGATCGAGAAGACATCAGTCGATAAAACATTCGATCCTCCGTATTTGACTCTCCGTAAATCTGTTGCTTTTTGTGCTTGTACCCTACCTGTTCGGGAGCGTTGTCGTCGATTCACCACAGGGAGAGGCGGCAACTCTCAGTTTCACCGGGCCTGGGTCATTTTTTGCGTTGAAGCTATGGTCGAGCACTTTACTGCCGAGGAGCTTCACCATACGAAGACGCTCACAAGAAGTTTGGCCGTCTATAGGCAGAGAGTAGCTACACGGGAGTCTATAAGCCGGCGCATGAAAATAGATATCTCTTTTTGGTCGTGCTTGGTCTTCTACAGCGGCTCAACCCTAATACTACCCCAACCCTAACTTCACCACCATAGCACCCTGTTCATCCAGCGAGTTATCACTGGTTTCTGAAAGGCCCAGCTCCATGAAGATAATAGTCACCATGTAATATCCGCCGCTGGCTCGTGCGATACAATTTGCGAGCCATGTCCAATGTTGTAGATTTGGCTCGACAGAAGGTCGGTAGATTCAGAAATGGCAGGAAGCTCGGACGTTGATGCATTCCCTCTCCGAGAGACAGGACAATTCGAGACGACGAGTCCTACCTGTCAGCTCTACTTGACCCCATTGTGTTCTGTGGTAACTTGATGCCTGCCGGGCTAGTAGGCAATCAGGATTGGACCTGCGACCCCCGTCAGGCACTGWTCCGCAGCGAGCCGCTCATTTCAACTGTGGTCGAAGTGTCGAGAAAAAAGATCTCAATAGCAGCCGAACCGCTTGCGAGGGAACACCGCGTACACCAGGAAGAGTGTTCACTGAGCCCTTTGTCACATCCACACGGTCGTGCCGCCAAGTTTAGACGGGTCTAATGCGGTCTGCAAGGAATATCATCACTCCACCGAGGCATTTCCTGCATAGGGGGCATGATCCGGATTAGTCGCGCAGCGTCCAGACCCGAAGCGTGTTGTCGGGCAGTGAGCTAGGGAGGGCCGAAATATTTGCGTCGTCCTCGTCCTCGCTGTCGCTTCCATCGGAGGCCAGGGAATGCGCGAGTCTTCTCCCGGAGGAAGTAGCCAACACAGCCCCAGACGGATGCCATGCGGTGCTTGAAACCGGTGCTGTCTTGACATTAGTGACAACGCAATTCTAGCAACCTTCGACACTTACCATCCGCAATCTTAAACGCAGCATCTGGCCCAACATCATTCTCTATACTCCCAGGATTCCGCCACATCCTGACCTTGCCATCGAGTCCGCCGCCCCAAAGCTCGTATCCAGTGGCTGTGGGAATGACATCAATGTTCAAAGTCTGCGTCGTGTTCGCGTTTCTACCGATCAAAGTCGTGACCTTCTGATGCGTATCTCGGATATCGTAGACCTGGAACACATCACTCTGGCGTTCTGCGACCAAGAGATACTTGCCACAAGGACTCCAATCCACACTAGTAACGCCTGTACCCACTCCAGACTCTAGCGAGAAAACAGATGCACACTGTCCAAGACCCTCTTGTTCGTACAGAGCAACTTCCCGCAATGTGGTGCCCAACGCGAGCACACCATCAGCAGAGATAGCGAGAGCAGATACGGCCCCCCTGCGTTGCGCCTGGAGCGAGTTCTGCGGTGCCTTGCGACCGGGCTTGAGTTGATGCAGAAACAATGGTCCAGAGCCATCCCTTGAGCAATCGAACGCGGCGAGTGCATTCTCGCTGCCGGCTATGAAATGAGACCCGTTTCGAGTGAAGAGTAGACTTCGGGGCGGAAGATGTGCTTCTGTTTTCTCATTGATTAAAGGGTAAGTAGCGTGAATTATGTCATATTGAAGAACGTTCTTCAATGAAATGGGAACGAACGCACTCCCACACAATGCCAGTGTGGTGGAGGTGTCCTGGAGATCGAAGCCCGGGTATAGTGCGTATGATTGAATATTGCTCGCGGATCGAAAGCTGGAGTGCTCTGTCAATGCATGCGGCTGTTCCTGCTCATCGAGCAAATCCGTTGGAAGGACGTATGTTCGAAGACGGTTATCCTCGTTGTGGGTTATCAGCGACGTTCCGTCCGCGGTGAACTTCGCATGGCGGAACAGGTTGGAAATGGGCACGCCATCCTTCCGGGTTGTTGGAACTGGGCAATGGAATACTGCACCGGTAGAAGCGACACATTTGACGCCACTGTCGATATGCTGTGGGGCTGCGTCGATGGCAGACGGCATGACATTGCTGTTGAAGGGCAGGCCATTGGATTGAGGGAAGGTATATTTGCAGCACTCGGAAGCAAAAGCCATGGTATCATAYCAGAAGGTGTGACAGAAGTCCTGACAGATCAATAGCTCCAGACTTCGGCTTCATCTAGAATCTTCTTCTTCACCATCTGATCACTACCGCCATTGACCCATTATCCAACCACTCCCGAAAGTAATTCCATCCTTCGCAGCAGCTTCGATTGTTCCCAGCCATCAAAATGGTATGTTGCAACATTCATCGCCCTCGGCTGCAGTATCGTTTTTAACCAAAGCATAGTCGACCGCCATCAAATCCATCAAGTCCCTCGCGCCCCTCCTCGATCGCGTTCTGGTGCAGCGCGCAAAGATGCAGGCCAAGACATCCGGAGGCATCTACCTCCCCGAGACCGCAGTCAAAGATTTGAACGAGGCAAAGGTGTTGGCTGTGGGCCCCGGTTTGATGGACAAGGACGGCAAGCGGTTAGCAATGGGCGTGAAGGCTGGAGACCGCGTTCTGATTCCACAGGTACGTGCGTTGGAAGAGAACGACAATGATACACATCGAGCGTGGATTAAGGTGGACCTGCATGGCATTGAAAACTGACGTGAGTTGTACAGTTCGGAGGCAGCCCGATTAAGGTTGGCGATGAGGAGTTCTCTATCTTCCGGGATCACGAGTATGTTGCTATTCCCCTAGTAAAGATATGGATCAGTGCTAACTCGACGCAGCATCCTGGCCAAGATCAACGAGTAGACCGCGAGCGAAAGATACCCAGATCTCAAAAATTTGTAAACTAGCATCGACGGATGAGCGCGGACGCACGCTGCATGTATACTGGACCACGCGAGCCACTTGTAAATGATAGGCTGTACCTACTTCTGGAAACTTGTGAATATTACACATCTCTGCTCTACAGGCGTTGTCCTTCCCATCCGTTTTTGGTGTGACACCGTGCAATCAGCTTCACTTACTGGTGAGATCACATGCACATACTCCGAACGCGACCTGATCTCTACAGACCGGCTCCAATGCGACGTGGCTTCTGCTTGACTTTGCACAATCGCCCACATTTTCCTCATTACGCTTGGACCACATTTTCATTCACTGTACATTTTGTGACAATCAACCAGCCATCTTTTATCCCATCATCTTTTGAAAATTCTTCATGCTCACACTCACAAACCACATCCACCTCGAACACAACCCCTCGCGGAAAACAGAACCATCTTTCTCACAGCAACCATGGTTTTAAAACTCAAGAACTCCGTACCGGGCACGAAGGGAGTCGCGCAGAGAATCCCTCCAAAGAAAGGCGGCCGAAGTCGCAAGGATGAGGCGGACCGCTTCATAAACGACGACATCAACGAGCCACCGCTGCGCAAGACGAGCGGTAAGACGAGCGGCAAGACCACCGGCAAGACCACCGGCAAGACCCACAGCAAATCGCTTCTAGATGATGCGACCTCCAGCTTCAAGGCGACAGCTTCCGGCAACGCATACGGTAAGTCTCAGCAACTAGCCATTGTCTTGAATCACGGCTAACATGGCCTTCAACCAGAGCCGGAGCCAACAAACGACCATGACGGACTCGACCTCGACGCCAATGGCGAAGCCGAGCTGAGAACGGACAATACGCCAGCAGGCCTCTTTTCCCCAGACGAGGGAGAGAGCTGGGACATTCGATCACCCGACCACACCTCAAGTAGCAGTGTGAGTTTCAAGTTCGAGGAATCCGTGCCAGCGCGCCAACTCGACACCCCACCAGCTCGAGATTTGGAAGGGCTTTTCACACCCGACGCTCCGCAAGTGACCTTGAGCAAGAAGGTCTCCACTCGATTCGAGTCTGACTTTGGTGAGAATGTGCCCGACTCGGCGCACGAAGACAACTACACCGGCCCCGAAGTCATTGCCATCGTGGTCAAGACCGTTGTCCCCTGCTACATCGTCCAGATGCCCAAGGAAGTGCGCGCTCGCATCTATTCGGTATGTCTCTGAGGCTTCCAAACTATAAATACTCTTCTAACTTCTCTAGTATGTCCTCTTTCCCAAGGGCAAGGAGAATGGCCCCCGACCATTCTTCTCGAACACAAGCAATTGGCAGCTAAAGCCACCAGCGATGTTGCAACTGTGCCAGCAAATCCGAAATGAAGCCACGGGACCATACTATCATTCTTACATTGTTGGTGGAGCTTCGGTGCAGAAGGTTCTACCTTGGTTGAAGACGCTCAGCCCCCAAGCGAGGGGAGCACTCGGCAAGATCAAGTTGCCCTTCATCAACAACGACCACGTCAACAAGACGAAGGAGCAGCAGATCGCCGCATGTTTGAAGCAGTTCAAGAAGGCGCGTGTCGAGATTCCGCGTCGGAAGCTCAAGTTGGTGGTCCAACCACAAGACGTCAAGAGGAGTGAAGGAGGCGACTTGACAGATGAGGAATGAGGGATGACTTGAGATTTAACCTGGCCGAGAACAAATGTGAGAGGCCGACAAGGYCCTTCACATGCTTGGAATGTTTGGGAAGGACTGCTGCTATGACTGCCGTTTCATCTGCCTCCACACCGATGGCAGAGGAATGGCCATTACTCCCCTGCAGCTTTTTGTCACTCGGGCAGTCATGATACCACGACACTGGGAGGACTTCACCCCGCCGTGCTGGGAGACGCCCTGCAGATAGATATGACTGAATGATAGATACGTGCACATGACCAATACCAAGACCCACTTTCTGTATAGATRGAGTGATCACTGTGCCGAGAATGACGGTTCGCAAACGTGAGATCAATCGTACATGCTGCCGGTCACCGAGCTTTCAATAGTCAGCCGTTGTTGTCTAACACGAGCTGCTGCTCCATCATGGGAGGGTACTCATTCGTGCTCGCCGGGCCTTCGAGTCGAGAAGCTGCTGGCACTGCTTTTGAAGAGTGGAACTTGTGATCTGGCCATGAACGCAGGTTGTGGACGTGAATAAACACAAGACAGCTCTCTCCGTTTTCAATAGGAATGTCATTCGAAAATCTGCATGCTTTCCCCAAGGTACTGTTCGCCAACCGTGTGCCGCCCTTAAGAACTCCTTGCCATTCCCACGCCTCAATCGTGATGTCGTAATACAGTGTCCCTTTGAAGTCCATCCGCCATGCTCGTTTGGAGTCGAGGGTTGATTGTGTCAGGTGTCGGTGTCGGGCTGCTCACCGCTTATCTGAAGCAGGTGAAACCACAGCAGTTGAAGCGGAAGGGGTTGCGACGCACGCCGTGACGGTCAACGGTCACGCCGCCTCCGTGCTTGCTGCTCAAGCTCTAGATGTCGTTGTCAGTGCTGAATGTATGGGATAAGGATGGAGGAATGAGACTGACCTTGCTCCATCGGGGACCGAAGAAAGGCATTTTGGACTTGATGAGTGGTGAGGTAGGCTTCGACGGTTTGTGTTGATTGAGTTGGCTTAGTGTGATGTGGCCAAGGTGCTCGAAGGTTTGCTTATTTGTAGAGGGCCGCGGAATGAGATCCTTCAAACCTTTTGTATGTTGACAGAAGTGCTGCGGYCGTTTCAAGATGCTGTCAAACAAGGTATCATCACCCTTCAGCCACGATCAACACGCTATCGCGCTTTCCATCATGCCAAGTGAAAGTATGACGTAGAGGTAGGCTGAGGCGATCGTCCGGAGAGCTCTCCGGCCGACATGAAGCTGCTTCATTGGATACACAAGCAGACAAAGCCGTTCAGCCACGCTCACGCTGCTCGATCATCACCACATGCTCACTTGGCGTCTCGTTAGAATCAACTTGGCGGTCAAAAGCATGGTCTCGCGACCCCCCTTGATAATTGGTGCCTGACCTTTTCGTATTTGGTGCCTACGGATATAGCCGGAGCGGATCCGGCCGAAGCCGGCCAAATCCTTATATTACCCTTACGGTTAGAATGAACATAACATATACGCTCTAAACAACATGTCTTAATTAGATAATAGTATATAGAGCCCTACGAGTAAGCTCCTATTCTAAGAAATAGAGTAGGTAGCGTAGTTATAGTAGTAGAGGTATATAGAGGTAAAGGTAACTTAGTTAACTTTCTAAGCTTTTAGAGCTCGTTAATTTTATAAGTTAAGTCGATTATAATACTTAGAGCCTACTTCTTATCTACTACCCTTAATTGTTCTTATCGGCTAGCCTTAGTAACGTATACTAGATATTAAGGGATCTAATTTATATTCTAATAGGGCCGGGGATTAAAGGACCTCTATAGATATATATCTAGAGGGGCTAGCCCTTAACAAACTAGCTATTATTAACTCCCTTAGTAATACGGAGGTAAGGGCTAGAGGGGCTATTACCCTTACTATCTATATCTATAATATATTAATACTAGCGGTAGAGGTCGCTAAGGGGGTAGAGCTATAGCTACGGCTATACGCTAGAACCTTTCGTTAATATTAGTAGTAAGCGTAGTAGTAAGCCTATCTATAATTAAGTATTTATTTAGAACGGCTATTATAAAGGGTAGAGCCCTAGGGGGTTTAAAGTATAGGTATAGCCTATACGAACCTCTTAGTATCCGCACATTTTATATCGGAATCCGCGAGTTCGTAGATTTCCTCCCTATCGAACTTATTTAATTAAAACTTTACTTAAGCTCCTATATATATATTACTCGCCTGTAATATTAAGTTTAATCTCCTTTATAATAACTACTCCTTCGGATTAGGATCCYGGAAGGAACTTCTCGGATAACGAAGGTTTAGGACGGGAAGTATCCGTAGGATCTTCTATAAAGCTACGTAGGATTATAGAAGAAATATATCTTAAGTAATAAGTAATAGAGGCCGAAATAAACGCTACGAGAGCTACGCTCGAACGCGCGGAGTCCGGTCGCGTAGCTAGCGAGTACCTCCCTATAAGCGTAATAATACGTAACCTTATAGAATCGGTCTTAGCCCTAACTTAAGTAGGTTCCGGACGAGAACCGTCGGGACTAAAGGACTAAAAACCGCCTACTTAGAACGGCCGAGCCGATACCTTTAAGGATTACCTCCTTAGGCTTAAAAGCTCTTATTAAGTACGCTTCGGCCTAAAACTAATACTATCCGTCGACTACTACTAGAACTCTATTTATAATACCCTCCCTACTAGAGAAAGAGCAAGGATACGATACTTTTAGGAAGCGGGGTTAGCCTTAAAATCTACGGACCCCGACGCTTTCTTTATATAGATTAAGAAGGTTTTTAGTAATAGTAACGAGAGAGTAAAAGCTCTAGAATAACTTACGAGCCTTCGTTACTCTTTAGGCTAACCGTAGTACGATTACTAGCTAGAATTTAACGGACTCCTACTAAGTACGGGCGGATAGAGCTAGGCGGACGATACTAAGATCGGTTACCTAAAGAATACCTTCTCGAACCTAGTCCGAACTTATACGGCCTCTATATAAAAACTAATAGACTACTACGAGTTCGCGGAGAAGGTCGAGAGGATTATTACTAACCTAGAGGAAACGAATTAATTTAGGTCTATAAATAAGAAGTAGAGAGAGAAATATACGGATAGTAGTACGATAACTACGGTTACTACCCGATCTTATACGGGGGCCGCGAACTACCGCGTTAACTCCGACGGAGACGTAGTAATAGCGCCGACCCGCCCTAGTAGAAACCGGCTAAGAACTAATAGAGACTAGAGAGGAAACGGGAAATAGCGGGTAAAATAGGTATCTACGGAGGAAAGGGATAAACGCTAGTAGAGAGGGCTCTACTTCCGCTATAGAACGAAAAGGTACCTAATTAAGAAATACCCTTACGTACTAGTAGTACGACCGACTACTTAGATTAATATAGTAGCCGTCGGTCTGTTACTAGAGTCCGACTATAAAGGCTCGGACTACGGAGGAAACGAGTTAGGAAAAGAATAACTCCTATTTAAAGTTAGGAACTAAGAGTAAGGGAAGTATTAGAAGTAGAATAGAGTAAAGCGAAGAAGTTAATAGACGGACGCCTAGTATATAGCGACGTAGTCCTTAAAAAAACCTTTAGAAGCTTTACTCTTATTAACGAAGGCTATTAGTACTATATTATAATATACGGATATCTAGTAGAAGGGCTCGAACTCCCGTTTATAAGTCGCGAGAAACGTAAGGTAAAAGGTGCTACTTTAAGTATAAAGAAGGCTATAATTAAAGAAGTTATCGCCCTCCGGATAGAAATCGCTAGGTATAGTTAGGTTATATACGCGTATATCGTACTAGACCTCGACTTCCCGCTAGTTCTAGGAAACCTCTAGAAGGCGTATAATAAGGTTAGGACCGCGCCTAATAAGGGCCGGTTCTATTACGGTATCCTACGGAAGTAGGTAAAAGAAGGAAGAAACTATAAGAAGGTCGACGATATTACGACGCTAGCCGCTATATATTTAGCGGATATCGAGAAGGCCCTAAAAACGAAGAACCCGAGAACTCTCGAGGAGCTAAAGAAGAGTATACCTCCTAAGCTTTATAATATACTTCCGCTATTTTTCGAGCGGAAAGCGAATAAGCTAGCTCTTTATAAAGGAGACTACGACTATTAAATCGAGCTCCGGCGTAAACTAGACGGTTCCCTACCGGAACTACCCTAGGGCCCGCTATATAGTATATCTAAGGACGAGCTACTAGTACTTCGGAAAACCTTAGACGATTTAATAAGGAAGGGATATATACGCCCCTCTACCTTAGAAGTAGCGGCCCCCGTACTTTTCGTACGGAAACCCGGAGGAGGTCTTAGGTTCTACTATAACTATTAAGCTCTTAATAGGATAACGAAACCGGATAGATACCCCTTACCGTTAATCCCGGAGACCTTAAGAAACCTATTAGGAGCCTAGTAGATTATAAAGGTAGACGTCGTAGCTACGTTCTACTATATTAGAATAGCTAGTAGATACGAGAAGAAAACTACCTTTAGGACTAGATTCGGTTCGTTCGAATAGCTCGTATATTTATTCGGTTTATCGGGGGCCCCGGTATCTTTCTAATAGTATATTAACGAGCTACTATAGAAGTTCCTAGACGACTTCTACTCGGTATATATAGACGATATAATCGTCTATTCGAATAGATCGAAAGAGAACTACTTTCGAAAGGTTCGGTAGGTTCTCTAGGCGCTTTAGAACGGAGGCCTATATTTAAACCCTAAGAAGTACGAGTTTACTACGAAGAAGGTAAAATACCTTAGATTTATTATATATACCGATAGAAAAGGAGTAGAACCCGACCTAGAAAAGCTAGAGGCCGTATAAACCTAGGTAAGACCTAAAACTTAAAAAGAAACTCGAAGGTTCCTTAGGTTCGCGAACTACTACTAGATATTTATCGCCTATTACTTTAAGTTAGCCGTACTATTAATAACGCTTACCGGAAAGGGAATACCGTTCTCCTAGGAAAAAGCGGAGAAGGAAGCCTTTAAGAAGCTAAAAGCAGCTTACTATCGAGCTCTAGTACTTTCCTACTAGGATCTAACGCTTAAAACGTTCCTTAAGGCGGATTATAGTAGGTTCGCGATCGGAGGCGCCCTCTTATAGTTAAAAGACGGAGTCCTATACCTAGTAGGCTTCTTCTTAAGAAAGTTAAATAAGGCGGAGATTAATTACGACATTTACGATAAGGAGATACTCGCGATTATCTCCTATCTAAAGTTCTAGACCTCCGAACTAAAAGCGTATAGGTCCGTTACTATTTAGACGGATTATAAGAACTTAAAGTACTTTATAGTAAAGAGGCAACTATCGGAGCGCTAAATTAAATAGGTAGAATTTATAGCGTAGTTCTAGTTTACCTTAGTATATCGCCTAGAGGCCGAAGTAATTATCCTAGACGCTCTCTTAAGGAGAGAATAGGATATACTAGGTTAAGACGATAAGCGCTCCTAGTTTCGACGTTTCTTAAACCCGGACTTCGTAAAGTACTAGCCGGATACTATCGAAGAAGCCGCGAACGGTAAGGAAGCTCTAGATATTATTATAGCTACGACGAGCTCTTTCTACGAAGTATCGAATTAAGAAACGATCCTAGTAATAAACGAGCCTTTTACCGTAAAAGAACGACTAGAATCCGACGAACCCTTCTAGAATCCCGAATTAAATACCCTCTAGAGCACCGTAGCGAAGGAAGACTATATTTACTAGTCCGTAACCTAGTTAATACGGGACGGAGAGCGGACGCTACTAAGCGATATTAAGTTAAAGATATAAGTAGGAGACTATACTTTAAATAGGAAGGGAAGACTCCTATACCGCGGAAAACTATAGGTACTAGGAGCTCTACTATTATCGGAGTCCGAGTATAAAAGCGCGGACTACGAAGTACTATAGAAAGACGTTCTTAGGACGAAACTAATTTAGTCCGTTTACGATTTACCGGTAT